TTTTTTTTTGTTTTTTCTTATTTATAACCTTTAAATAAATTATTTACCAGCAAATAAATAACATTTTAATAAAAAAATATCAATTTTGTGATTGTCACACCTCTTGTATTGAATAATTATGGCATTTTTAAAGGCCGGAATCCAGCGTCGCTAAAGAAAAAATTTTTTAACTAATCGTTCAATGTAAAAATTTTTGATGGATCCTGATTCCCTCGGTTTTAAGCAATTGGTTATACTATTTTTCAGCCGGGTTGTAATACAAATTTGGCTGGTTACTTTTTAGGCAATATCGCCAATTTGTATAACAACGTAGCCTTAAATGGCAAGTATATGTTGATCAAACTTGTGATATTAATATTTGACGATGCAAATTTATCATTCAATATACCCAGAACATTATTATATAACACTTAAAAAAAAAAAAATTCTGGGCGAATCAGCTCAAAAGCCATTTAAGTTATAATTAATTTGTAAAACCAGTTCCCCGAAATTTATTAGTAGTTTTCACTGGTTCGGAGATGGATCACGAATTAAATAATTTTATATAATCCATATATATAAATAAAATACTTTACTAATTCAAACAAAACATTTTTTAATATATTTATAATAATTAATGGATTTAATAAAATACCAGAATATATAAATGTAAAGGACTTTTAATATTCTATTTATTTAATAGCAATTTTTATTTAAAAAAATATTAAATAATTAATATTAATTTAAAGATTTAGAAATATTATATTGCACAATTTTATATTTATCCTTATTCTTCATTCAATAATTTAATTATTATGGTTTAATATTTATATAATATATATAGTATTGTAATATATAAATCTTTAAAATCATTTTTGTTTTTTTTTTACTACTTTATCAATATATAATTTAAATTTTGCAAAAGTTGTAATTTTTCTTTAATCAATTAAATTTTTTCATTAATTGACCAATAAGAATCATATTGGAATTATTATCTGTTGTATAGTAAGAATTTTTTCAATAAATTTTTACTAATATATAATTTAATTAAGCAATTCAACAATATTATTTGCAATATTTGATTGCAAGTATTATTTCATACAATTGAAATGAATTTTCTATAAATGAATATATATTATTTCTAAATAGCTACTTTGATTTCTAGCTGTTTACAAATTTATAGTTAAAAAACATGAAATTACTTCTTCCATTTTATTAATCAAAATTTTTTTTGTTTGATTATATCCTTTAGCTAAAAGTTTTTGCATTATTTTTTACTTAGCAGTTAGGAATTAATAATTATAATTAAATTTATAAATGAATTTAATAAAACTTTCATAAATACTAATAGATCTAAGGTTACTTGTCTAAACCTTTTCAAAATTTTACAATTAGTTTCTCCGAAATTTTACTATAGTTTTATTATAATTTCAGCAAGGTTTCAGCAGTTTCAGCATTTATAATAAGTTTCGTCAGGTTTCACTTTTCTCCAGAGTTTCGCCAACTTTTAATAAGACTTTTATATAGTTTCGGTAAAGTTTCACCATTTCGGCATTTTGCCAACTTGCCAAAATCCCCTAGTTTCTCCAACAACCTTAAATAGGTTATTAATCTTTTACTAAAATTCCTATAAATTTTTAATTACAGCAGTTTTTAATAGTTGGATTAGTTTAAAATATATAAATGATAGTTTGTTAGTTTCTTTTTTTATTTTTTTCCATTTCTTGCATTTTTCTTTTATAAATTTCTTCTGTTATATTATACTTACAAGTTAAATGTACAATAAAATTTTTATTGAATTATTAATTTCTATTATATGATTACACTTTTTCATTTGACAATTTTTTTATATAGTAGTATTAAATAATTTAATCAAAATAAAACTATATCCAACTGTTTTCAGATGGCAATGCATTTGAAATTAAAAAAGTTCAATATTTTTTTAGATTAATTTTAAGTAGTTTACTATAGATTTATTATTATTAGGATTTTTATTAATTAATCTAAAATATTATATAATATAACTTAAATCTTTCTCTTTTTTTCCATTTATGGAGAAATTAGATAGCAAAATACTATTTGAAGATATTCAAATCCATAATAGTTTGGATCAGAATAAAAATGAATAAATAATGTAATAAATGCATCTGATAATAAAACTTCAGATGGTATAGTAAATTGGAATTTTTATAGAATAATATTATTGATATACATAAGTATAAATCTTATTATTAATTGATATTTTATGATTATATATGCATTTCTTCTTAGTAACTGGTTTTTCTTTTTTTTTTTGCTCTTATTAGAAGTTGCTGAACTGGTGATAAATGAATTACTGATTTGCCTTTTTGTACTTTTTTAATTATAAGTTTAGTAAATTTAGTTTATAAAAATAAAGCTTTTTGTTTTAGTTTAATTTAATTAATAAAAAAATTAGCAGTTTATACTTTTTTCCTAGTTTTTTTTTTTTCTTATACTTTTATTTTAATTAAGTATCAGGTTGCTATAAATAGATCTTTTGTAAAAAATGATACTAATTGTAATTGATATAATAGCTAACTAAAAATTACTGAATTTAGTAAATTTTTATTATTATTATCATTATCTTAATTTATTGAAAACTTATATTTGTTATATTATCTATTAGCTGATTTTATTATTCTAAAACTTTTTAAAAGATTTTAGTAAAATTTTCAAATTTATTTTTTCTATAATAATATTAAATTAACAATAATTTTTTAATATAATTATATTAATAAATTATTTTTTATTTATATTATATTATTATATTATTTATCTATTTATATTATAATATTATTATTTGAGAGGTGATTAGTAAGGACCCTGCTTACTTATAAAATAGGTCACCCCAGGCCTAAGGTAAAAATCTTTGTAGATCCTACTATAAAAGGAAATTTTATATTACATTTTATGATTTTTTTTCTTTTTAGCTAATTAACCAATAGAATTTAAGAAAAAAGTAAGGTAAAAACTATTAGTAAAGGGCCAATTTTCTATGGTGACCTTTATTATAAGTAAGCGGGGTCTTGGTCAGTAGAAAAGGGGGAAATTTAAAAATTTTAAGATTTTTGGTTATTAAGCTAATTTTGTTCCCATGTTCATGTATGATTGACAAAGTAAACTGATAAAAAAAATTTTCTTTTTCTACTGACCACTTCCCATTTATTTATAATAAATTATAATTTAATAATAACTTTACAATTTAATAATTTATTTGTTTTTATCTTTTTATTATTAAAAAAATTATATATATATATAGTTGAAATAAACATTAATAATGTTAAAAAAGAATTTAAAGGTGAAGAGTTAAATCTATTTAATACAGCTAGTGCATATTTTAATGAACCAGACTATCTTTTAAAAGAAGTACCTGCTAAATATATCATTAATATCATCATCTAACCACCTCTGCCTGTCACTACTAGTAAGTGTCTTCCAATAGTTTACCTCTTGAATAAGAAATTCACATTATTTCACATATTTTTTATTAATTAAGGAAAGGAAAGCGAAAGAGAATAGGAAAAGTAAAAATCAAAAGAAAGAGAAGTGTGAATATCAATATTCTACAGAGTCAAAAAAGGATCATGACAGTCTTTTAATTATTTATGAAAAACTGGATAAAGATAATTGATTTCATAAAAGGAAATCATGTTAGTCTTTTACGCAGTCCTTCATTATCAGATAAAAGCACTCTTGATCAGACACTCTGAGATCATTTCCAAGTCAATTGTATTTCCATATATATTAGTCTTGCCAGATCATGTAAAGATGAAAAACTTTTTGAAAAATTCTGGAAAAAAGAAGTGGACTATACCTGGACAAATATTATTGAAAAAGAATCTGCTTACATATTTATTAACAAAATACAAATAGTCTATAGTAAATATGCTCGATACTTTTAAAATAGCATAAAGATGATAATGTTAAGCAAATATACTAAAAATATTCATATTTTTCTTATCAGTATATATGACCCAACTCTTAAGGTAGAATCAACACTAAGGTTGGTTACCGTAAATAACAATTATTATATATTGAATTACATATAACCTTTAGTAATTGTAATATTATAAATATAAGTTGTAAATTGGCTGTAAATACTACTATACTATTGTTATTAGCTAAAAGATGGTAATTTTGATTTACAACCATTATATTTACTTGATTTTGGACTTACAACTATTTACGGAGATCAACACTAGTTAACATCTATAAAATTTGGTGATAGTTATTCTCTTAGTTTAAAAGACCTACTTTTAATAAGAAATGAGCTTAAGAATCTTGTAATAAATTATTTTCAGACTTATGCATATTATCAGTGGTAGCCCAAAGTTTAAAATTCTTGAGACAATTGAGAATGCAATCTTTAGACTTACTAATGGACATGCTGGCCTATGTTAAATAATTTTGGATTTACTACACAATTATTTCAAAAATGGACTCTTAACTTTGGAAAATTATTTATATACAGAGTCACGTGCTTTATGCTGAATTGTTAACTGAAACATAAGTGCTAATGATAGTGAATTAATTCATGATATGATATATATCACTTGAAATGGAATCACCTCTAATTTTGACTGTGAAGATCCTATTATCAAGAATTTTCTTAAGATAGGTCTACTTGTAAGGGATGTATATTCTACACAACCAAAATTCACCACTCCTATTTTGCTAATAATTCTGAGTCATCATATGATCAGTTCTAATTTAAAAAGTTTACAAAGAGACCTTACAAGACAAGACTTTAACAAATTCTTAATTAGAAGCATTGAGTGCATGAGTAAACATATATTGTCAGAATCATATGGAAGGGATGTTAATTCACGCTTATATGAAGTAGGATGGCAGAATGAATGATACAGATTAGCAGTCTCTGTAGTCCTACTTGGAGCATCAATAAGTGCCAATGTAGGTTATGTGTTTGGCTCAGATGGTTATCTTGACTATTATATTAATGGAGAAATTTGCTGGGGAATTGAGCTCACATGAGAGGGTAACCATTTGGCTGAGCATGCAAACCAATTTTATGAAAATGGCAAGTATAAAGATATTCCATTAAAAGAATGGATTATTCTTGACTTCTGACATAATTCTAAAACAGTAAATGAATTAAAACAAAACTTCTGGTACATTCTCTACTCAGATGACTATTCATCTGTAACCATCAATCGTTGTGGGTATGAAGACAAAATTTGTTATCTGCAAAAATGATGCAGTTTTAGTATTAAAAAATTTTTTTTGGATTTATGCGAACATATAACTTTTAAATTTTGTAGATTAGGCAAGTTACATAGCATTTTTATTACTAATAAAAGCGAAAAATATTATTTTGTAATTGAGTATATTGAAAAGAAAGAGACTGGCCAACTAGATAAAAGTGAATATAATAAAATTGGAGTTCTCGCGATACTGATGTCTAACGTTACTGCGCATTTATTTATCAGTTGGAATTCATTCGGGATAAATAAACAGAAGTTAGCTCCTTTATACATCATGTATTATTGCATCATTAGATGTAACCGTTAACCGTGAAGAATCTTCACGATCATAAAATCACGTGAGTTTCGGAGCTGAATGCTCTTTTGTCGAAATTTTATTGCAATTTTTTTTTGACAGTGGATTTGACCTTTATGTAATCGCAAGTCAAGATCACGGTAGTTATGAAAATCTCATCGGTGTCGTGTAAAAAATTTTTATTAATACATGCAAAAAAATAAATACAAAGTTTACGCCCGTGATACATATTATTTTTTGATAAATTTTCTATGTTTATGACTGCGGACTACATGATTACTCCACGTCCTTGCTCTCTTACTATTTGGTGAGTCATCAACTTCGACAACAAACCTACGATCACCTCCATAACCTTTTTAACACCTCAGCGAAGTTCCGCATCATCATCCAAAATATCCTCGGTAAGTGTTATGTGGTAGTCGGCTTTCGAGCAATAAATTCTTTCTGGCGTATACATGAGGAAATACCAATCCGTGGCTATGAAACAACAGAAAAAATTACATTAGATATCGTCTCTCACTTCCGATTCACATAGTATAGAACTCACCTGTAGTAACGATTCCATATAGATAGTCGAAATCATCAAACGCTTCAGATGCCTTCCTCTTTCTTGTATTCGTATGGTGGGAACTCTCGAGTTGCATTACGTTTTGCACGAAACCCGCCACTAAGTCCTCCTGTTTACCCTCGATTATAGCTTACAGCTCCTCGTTCACGACGTCTATGATTTTCTTGATTGCGCAGTCGACTCGGCAAATGATCCGGTTGTTTTAGTAAAATCTGCATGAGCAAGCGATCACATTCCCAGAGTCAGTCTCACCGCCTTCTCGTAACGAATAATAGAATGCCTCTACTAAATCATAAAAGACATCTGGAATGTCTGGTACCTTTGGGCGTTTCCTAATCGAATCAATACTGGCGCCGGCGTATATAACCATTTTAGCTAATGCCTTTGTCTTTACCATTGCCCCCTCTACATTTTTAAAAAGATCGCTCCGAATTGTGACATGCACAAGATCATCGATATGTTCTTTACTGTGTATATCGTAGACTGGATCATGTTGAAAGGTGCGCTGTCTCAATACCTGTCCCCTTTGCCCCTCAAGAACGGATGGGCCTTTTCTTGCTTCACAAACAGACATGGTTGTTAATACGGAAAAAATATTCAAGGTTATATGCGTTTGGAGCTTGCATACGCAAGAAAGCTTCTTTATTTGATAAAATATATCATTGCTTACAATACATAAAAAATTGCGAATATACCGCGTTACATAATACTGAAAATTATTAATGGGAATACACGGTGACATGGAAGTAGCTTGCCCGAGGTGCTTTTTAAAATCGTAAATCAGAGTCTGCGATTCCATAATTTCACAAACACTTCTGGGATGAATTTGACGAATGCTTAAAGAGACATCTGACCCCAATCTGGCTTTAATTACTCTTTCAAGTATACCAACCGTTTGGCTTGACATAATTGCTTTATTTCATTACATGGGACATCAATGAGATTCCCTACAGGAATTGGCTGAACTTATACCAGTCCTAGACACTATATATCTCGTTACTGTTATCCGCGGAAAAATAAAAAGATCGAACGCAGAAGATAAGGAAGATGATTATCGCTATCGTATGATGTCAAGAAGCCTTCGAAAGCACATGAAAACGGAATCTTGGTTCTTTTAGTTTAGCGATCACAACTGCAAGACGCAAAGTTGGCTAACTCGTGTAGATCTCGGAATTGCAAAGTCCTCAGCCCTTCATAATATATGCTTTTGTCGTCAATATTAACATATACGGTAGGTCCTGTGTTGCAACAAAGGATTTCACATTCTTCTCGCGTTTGTTCAGAGAGGAGTATGCGCAAGTTCTTTTGGTTATATCTGATATGCGAAAATTAATATGTCGCACAGACCTGCCATTTATTCTGTCGTACAATTCATGGCTCAGCAAATTCTTCCGAGCCTGCCCCGAAAAAGGGGGCGCTGATTAGTGTTTGGATCCGGATAAAAACCGTTATCCGGATAAAATAATTACTCAATCCGGATAAAAACTTTAATTTTGTAAAAGGTGGAATTAAATCCAATTATCAACAAATTTGAGTACTATGATCGTATTTGTAACACTAAGAGCTTTCAAACAAGCCATAAATCATAAAGTTCTGATCATTAGTTCATGAAATACAACAGTTTATCCGAAATCTGCAATCCGGATAAAATCCGACGAAATCCGGATAAAACCGCGGTTTTTACCCGGATAATCGCACTTTATCCGGATTGACCCGGGTCAAACCGGATTCGGATCCAAACACTAGCGCTGATGATCAATACTCCGAGGTAGATGATTATTTTTCTGGACTCAAATTTTCCGCATTAAATAATACTGATCAAAGCGAAATACTTTATCAATTTAGGTAAATGGATAAACTGTACTGTACGGTCAGCTAAACTGTACTGTACGAAAATATTTTAGCCAATCATAACTCATTGTATACTTTTCAAATTTTTTAAATTTTTTTTATTTATCGTACAGTAAAATCTGATTGGTGAGTTCTCACTTCGTACAGTACAGTTTATATGTATACTCCCTCGCTTGCTATGATGGTGCCAAATCCATAGCTGGTGTTCCTTGCAATGATATTGTACATTTTATGCTACTGAGGTGAGTGATGGATACCAAATATACAAATGGTGTATCCGACTATCCGCATATATTTGCGTATTAGTGGTAGTTTGATCAATGGGCAAAAGGCACTCGTGAATGTCGTTGATATCAAACCTTTCTTTGATTCCGTAGTACTTAGAAAGTCGCTTCTATCTCCGTTTAAACTAGGTTAGTAAAAATATGAGTTAACACTCTCCAAAACACATCGAAATTTGCAATTGAGACTATTAGTGCCTTTCCACTTCAAGGATACCATACAGAAAAGCAGACATATATACATTTTAGTACATGGAATCACTTTGATCGGTATAATGTATTAAAGGCAGTTTATGAAATTGGTATTTGTACAGCTTCTGACGATCCAACTCCCCAATATTATTATCGCAAAGTGGCCTGTGAGAAAAGATTGCCTCTGCGGTATTAAGTGATTATTCATATGAATACTACAGGGATTCGTCGCCAAATACTTATTCCTTTCAAGTGTCTGTATATAATTATAACCCAATAAATGAGGATGACTATAACGATCCATTATTTTCTTTGGCACTTTCATGGGATTGCACTCTTGTTCTCCGAAACATATAGATCACGAAAAACGGGTGAGGTGCCTAATGCAAAGTACGAAGAAGACGTCGTGTTCATGATTTGTATGACAGTTCATTGGAAAGACGATCCTGAACCGCCTGCCTTCACTGGAGAGGACTCTCGGACGGTAAGTTAGTTTTCGGAAGTAGAATTTCGAAATTGACTTCAAGAACGTTACTAACGTTTCTTCTTTTTACAGGCTCTGTTCTTCCGGAGAGGACTTTTTGGACGGTAAGTTGGCTCTTTGGGAGAAAGTTTTGTAATTAACTAAGAAACGTGCCAAGTGCCAACGTTTCTTTTTTTTTAAATTTTGTAAGTTTCGGCGGCGTTGCGGATACCTTTAGGACTCAGTCGAATTTAACATTTCCTTTTTTTTCAATTTTGTAGGTTTTGGCATCGTGAACACCTTTAGCCTTTAGGATACCGGTACGTTGTTTTCAAGGTGGAGCTTTTGAAATTAACACTAAGAAACGTGCTAAAGTTTCTTTTTTTTTATTTTTAGATTCTGGTTTCTCTGGAACGAAATTTGTGATGGTAGGTTCTTTTATTTAAAGCGGAGGTGCCATTAGCAGAAACATACTGACGTTTCTTTTATATTGTTTTTGTAGTTTCTGCTTCTCTGATATAATATTCTGGATGGTAGGTTTTTTTTTCACTCGCCATTAGCTTTAGGAAACGCACTAACGTTTCTTATTTTTTAATTTTTGTAAAGCTTCGGCATCCTGGATACCCTTAGAACATGAGTATGTTGTTTCATTGAAGAAGTGTTGTTTGCCAATTTTCTTTTTACTTTTTATTCAAGGAAACGCTTATTAACGTTCCTATGCATTCTTTTTTTGTAGATTTTGCTTGACGGTTCCTTGGAATAACATTCCGGCGGAACTGCTTCGCAGTTCGGTGATATTTCAACCCCCCTACCCAATAACTATTATATATCTATCAAAATATCAGGATACCGATTTTCCTCCTGATTTTTATATTAAACAAAACTGATCTGAAGTCTACGCCAAGAACTGGTCACAAATCAGGTATATATATCAGACTTAAAATCAATGTTGAATGTCGGGTATATGAAATGAACCAGATAGTCCTTTATTCATTAATTGATTCCACAATCAATCAATTCTGAAGTAGTCATATACTGCAGTGTTTGGATCTGGTTAGGATAAATCCACAGACATCTGTTTAACGTCCGGATACAAATATTTAGATTGCTGTTTATAGATTCCTTCTATTCCTTTATTTGATATGATCTTTCTGGAGAAATTTTATTATTACCGTATATCGCGGGTCATAGTACCCCCATGTATAGTACCCCTCTTGAAAAATTTCATGGAATTGATCCAGTGATTAAATTAGAGCCATCGTTTTTTTTGTTTGATAGCTCTCATTGAGCTCTTCAAAATAAAATAAAAGATTCGCTCAAATTGAACCGGTAGATTGTGAGATATTCGCAAAAAACGGAATTTTTAAAGGTTTGTTTAGTATCCGGGGGTATAGGGTCAAACCCGATTTTTGCAAGATACCCGGGATACTATGGCCCGCGATATACGGTACTTTTTTTATTTTTTCTTTAAATAACTTTTTTTTTTACTTAACGGTTAATCAAAAAAAAATGTTAGTTTTACATAGTATCGTCCTGTCACTAATAAAAATAGGTACTTATAAAGTCGTGTTCATCATTTTCAAAAAAAACTTGGAAACTAGTACTACTCCCGCGAATAAAAAGTGAGAATTAAGGGAGGAACGGGAAACGTGATAGGCCTGAAAACCTCTGAAAGGATTTCCGAAAGTTTCAGGTTTCGGAATATACGAATCGAAACCTCACTCGAAACCCTAAACAAATTCCGAAACACGACAGTGAGGGTTCCAATCCCAATTCCAAACTCACTATCGATGTTTGACTTAATTTAGAAGACTTCTACTCTTTTTTAAGTAATAAAATGTCGGGTAGTTTACCATAAAATTCAAAAAAAACAAAGTCTACAAGTAGTACTGGTGGAAGCCAATTTAGAGATTTTTTGAGCAAGGAGACGAATTAGACAAAGAGCACTATGTTACAAGTAACTTTAATTCATAATTTTTTTAAGAATTTTTCTAACTATCACCGGGGGTGATGATCACCGGTGACTGAAATTCTGATGACAGACCAGCATAAAAAAATATAGTGCCGGTAAAAATTGTTAATTCTGGCCAACGGTGATGATCACCCCGGTAAAAATCTTTTATTACTGTAATATATTTTTATGTAATAAACATAGTGAGCTAATAGGTTTCAGTTATATTTCGGTATACAAAAGTTTCGGGAATTTCGGGTTAGATTCGGGATTTAGGATTCGAAAAATAAATGCATGTTCCGAAACTAAGTTTCGGTATATACCTAAACCTAAAGGGTTTCAGGAGGTTTCAGTTTCGTGCATGTTCGCAGTGAAATTAAAAAGTATAATACAAAGTCAGTTCCCATAAAACGAAACAAAATGTGCGTGCAAGTTCTAGTAAAAAAAAGGCAAAGAAAGCAATTGCAATATTTCAGATGATTCTGAAGATGAGGATAAATACCATAATGATAATAATGACAAAGAAAATAATGTTACTAAATTGCCTTCAAAATTTGACGAGTTAGAATATCAAAAAAAGGACTTTGGCTCTAAAAGAATGCGAATTTTATAAACCAGAATCCTCACTCAACACCTGTTTTAGCGCTGATACTCCACTCAACATCGGAACAGAACTCCACGACTATTCGGCTCACCTCAAGGTTTATGGGCTATTGAGCACAGTGCGTACTCATCGACTCCATAACTATTCGTCTCACCTATTATATCATATACGCGTAAATTATTAATAACAGATAATACAGAAAAGGTTATATTATTACAAAAATAGCATGATTTTTAATTAAATCCTCAAAGTTATTTCTTTCAGTGTTTGAGCCTGTTCGATGACACCAACTGTATTCAAACACGAAAGAATGTACTTACAAAGAAACAATAAATTGAAAGGCTTGTGAAAATTTATCATAACTTGAAAATTATTATTAGATAATATTCATTTTCCTATCACTTCTAATTTCATTAATTTCATTGAATATTTTTGGCACTGGAATTAGGAAATCTCTCAATATATGGATTTTTGTTCGATTTAGAAATAAAGAATATCTTGTCGTATTTCTTATGATTAGAGTTGAAAAATGGCTTAATTTTTATCATTCGAGTTCTAGCGAATGGAAATAGGAAAAGTTTAAGTAAAAAAACTGACACTATTAAAATGATTGTAGTAAATAATATTGTCTCTTACTATAATGATTAATGAAAAGTAAAAATACTTTTTAGCACTTCTTCAGTGAATCAGTGCTGATGAGCATGAAATATTGAAAAGAACCAAGTAAAGTATATTTTTTTTAAATTTTTGGTTTGGATTGTTTTGTTCGAGGTAATTGTTTTTTCTTTAAGGTTATGCACGCAATCTTTAGTAATAAATGACTTTTATCATTTAAAAATTTATTTACCTCTTTTAGGTATAATGATTTTTCCAAAAGTTTTTAATTGAAATATTTAATAATTTTAGTGACAAAAAAATTGACTAGTGTTTAATTTTAATATTTCAATTCAAGAAAAAAGAGTTAATTGGTAAGTGAAATGTGAATAATTTACAAATAAAATAAAAAAAATTTCCGAGAATTCTTAAATTTTACGCATTCTGGGCATAATCTGGAAATTTACTTATTCTATGGGAAGATATGGGAAGACATAAATACCAATTGCATTAATACATATAGTACAAGGTTTTAAATTAAAAGCAATGTACGGCCGGCCAATACGGGTATTACTAAGCACAGATCATCCTATTTCGTTCCCTTCTCCATTATTTTCTTATTAATACCTTTACAACATTCTAATTCGAGATACTTTATATTGGAACATGAACGAATAATTTCTCTGATATCTGAATTGACAATTATACATTGCTATAATTAATGTAATATTATACAAATTCTATATTAATATACTTATCGCAAAATTTAGTCTAATTATAAATAACTTGAACATTAACAGGATCATTTTTAGTAAGTAGTTCATTTTTAGAGAGTTGCTTGCGTTTAATAACCCAATACCCTACTATTAAAGAAATAATAGCTGTGCCGATAATCGATCCAGACACTGCAGCTATAAGTCCACTCGCTGAGATAACACCCGTTGAGCTCGCCATCGTAGATGAATTAGATGAATTAGAAGAATCAGAAGAAGTTGTTGTAGTTGGTAATAAAGTATTAGGTATATCTGGTGATATTATCCTGTTATAATGCAATAAAATTTAATTTTCAAAAGAAAATAATATAAAACTTAAAAAATTAAACTTAAATTACCCAAAAAGATCCCATTTTGACGCGGCTGCACAATTTGTTTGAGTCACATTGGCAGTTAGATCTTTGCCGCCCATACAAAGATTAGATGCTAAATTCTATTTTTGAGTACATACAGCATTAACTACTATTAAAGCTATTAATATTATTAACGGATTGAATTCACTACCTTTATCAAACACGAAGTGTGATATTTTACCCAATTCGCTGAATTGGTACTAAGATTACAGGCATCACATTCGATAGAGAATCTTTGGTTATTTCCGTTGGTGCTTGAGATTAAAAAGAAAAAATTATGATTTATAATTAAGTACAATATGAATATATTAAAAGAATTAAATACTAACCTGCGATTAATTCTAAAAGGAGCATCAACATTATTGATACTTTCAGCTGGTATTTCAATAGCTATTATCACCGATTAAGAAAAAAAGTTAAATAAGATGCGGATCAATATATTCGTTCAGAGATAATTTTTTATTATTTACTTAAATCTCGATAAAAACTAACAAATGGTCGAAACTCGTAAACACCAGTTGTTGGTTGTTTCAACATGAAAATTTCATTATCAGCTGGTTGGTCACCAGAGTTAAACGTTATAATAAATGAGCCCGTAAATCTATAAAATCATCTCATTAACTGTTAATATCAAGTTAAATAATTATATAATAAATAAATCCTCTTATATATCTTACGGAACGTAAAATTGTATATTGAATCGCCAATTGGAAGAGAATGATAGACTTGTAGAAATGAAATTTCCATCCTTGATTTCTGGCGAACATGATGAAACTAATACAACAAGAAAGTTAAAGGCTTTGTAGAATAATAAAAAAGAAAATAAACGCATGGTGTGTGCAAAGAAGAAAAGAAATACCAGGGAATATGCTGATCAGTTTCAAATTTTCTATTTATATGTTTTGGCTAACGTGCGGGAGATAAGTGGAGTACCACACAGTTTACTAAAACGATAAATAATCCTTAATATGGACATATAATGTATTCATGGAGATCATCACGTGTATTTCTTAATAGAATAATAATAAAAATAAATTTTATCACAATTCACTAAAAATTTTCGAAAATTTCCAAAAAGATCAAAAAAAGTTCTAAAAATTCCGGAAATTCATTTTTTGTATCGGAATGGATGCATTAGATTGTTAATGCGCTTCAAAGTTTGATTATGATCATATTAAAAAAATTTACCGAAAATTTATTCCCGGGTTAAAAAATTTTTTGTGTGCTGCGGCTTCCTGTTTATGGTTTTATGTTACACCGTCTCGAACGTCTTATATACAAATTAAGTTAGCATAAATCATTGTAAATATTATTTTGTGATATATAATTAGTAAGCAATAAATATCTTACAAGAAAACATAAACCTAAATAATACAATGATTTTTCAAAGTTGTGAATATATTCGTTTTATTTTTTGGTAAAATATTTAACAATTTTATTTGGCATCCATAATTTTATAATTATTAAGTATCTCAATTCAATTGGTAAACATTTCATCTACATTCATCTGAAAAATGGAAGTTATTTTCATTGTACAATAAAAAAAAAAAATTATTTATATAAACAATTTCACAAAGTATTTTAAAACAGGTAAATTTGATGTTTCGCATATTTGGTTGCCGGAATAATTTTATGTTGTTAATTTGCCTTATTACAAATACAGTACAAACTTTACTTTTGATTGATCGATTATTATCGGTCACGACTAATTGGAGGATCGATAAATCGAATAATCGATAATTAACATAATGTGGCTTATTAGATTAAAATACAGTATATTGGTATTTTATTAATAAAAACTCGTTAAATATTGTTTATTGTGCTTAAAATTTATTTATTGTTGTGATTAAAATAATTCGCCAAATTAACATTCCCATTTTGCCTTAAATTAGTCCGAAGGCTTTTAATATACATTTCTTCAAAAAAACGAAAACTTAAGATAAAAATAGAAGTAATACATTTGTTAATTAAATGAAATGAAAAAATTTCTTGATACTTGTATAATATTTTCATGTAATATCGTTCACTAAAATAAATTAAAGGTTAATTGTATCGATTCATACGCGTAAAGATATATCAATTTAAATAATTAATATACGGCTCTATAGAACCATCACGCATGTACTACACCAATATTCCATCCTCGAATAGCGTGCTTGTAATGTTATTCTAAGACCTAATTTCAATACATGTTATAATGTGTGTTTATACATGTTTATACACGGAATACTATGCTAAAGAGATAGCGATTATGCGGAATAGCCGAGGTTCAAGTCCGATGATCCTGATGCAATTAAGAATTTTTTTTGGAAAAATCATTATACCTAAAAGATATAAATCAAGTTTTTAAAAAGAAATAATAAAGGTTTTTCATATACCGTACCGGCACTGCTTAAGATACCCCGAGTATAATACAAAATACTTGATTTAAAAAATTATATAATACCCATGGACATTTTGTGAGATACATGGCCAAAATTAGCCTAATTCCACCAGAATTACCATATATTGTATCTGGGCCTTTTTGCTGGGGTGTTCTCAAAGGGGGTATCTTAAGGCATTGCGGTACGGTACTATATGTGTTGTTACACCTTAATAACGCGCATCAGTATTTCATACTAGATCATTCTTATAAATAATAAACCTTTGCCTAAAGTTTTTAACCTTTGCCTAAAGATTTTTCGGTTCATTTTCTGAAATCATAAAGTTATTTATTAACATAAGAACTAAAAAGAATTGATTAGAAAGTGAGTGAGACTAATTTCTTTGATTTCATTATTATCCCAACTCGCTAATTTAATATTTATAAATTTCTCATTATAATTATGTTAGATTTATTTTATTGAATAATTAATTGCATTATGAAAGTAAATGCTGTATGTGACATATTATATACAATGAGAAGTTCTGAAAATTCTTAAATCTTACTGTATTCTGAAAATTACTTATTCCGGTATGCATTACAATAATATAAAAGTCCTTTTAAGCGAAGATTTATTACTAGTTTTTAAATTAAAAGCAATGATACATTGCTAAATTAATGTTATATTAAATAAATTCTATATTAACATAATAAAGTTATTAAGAATAGTTAATCTAGCCGTGAATAACTTGAACATTAACAGGATCATTTTTAATAAGTAGTTCATTTTTAGAGAATTGTTTGCGCTTAATAACCCAATACCCTGCCATAAAAGAAATAATAGCTGTGCCAATAATCGATCCTAAAACTGCGGCTACAAGTCCACCCACTGAGATTACACCCGTTGAATTTCCACTCGTTGAGTTCGCTATCGTAGGTGAATCAGGAGAAGTTGTCGCTGGTATTTATATTGAATCGAAACTTGTTAGAGAGTGATAAACTTATTGAAATAAGGTTCCCATCATTGATTTCCGGTGAACATAGTGATGAAACTAGTGCTGCGAGAAAGCTAAAAGCTTTATAGAATAATAAAATTGAAGATAAACGCATGTGATATAATGTGTGTGCAAAGAAGTGTGATTTAAGTTCAGTTTTAATTTTCTATTTGAATTATTTGAATTTGTTTATAGTTACACAATATTCCAATTTTCAATTGAAGTTTGTGAAACAAAAAATATATTATTTTGTGTACAAATAAATTATGCGTGATTATTTATAGCTTTTCTCATTATGTTTCAGAAACAAGGTAATTAGCAATTTTTGGAAAAAATAAATTTTTTTTCATATATAAAGATTTAAAGTTGGTTTAATTCATTATTACATTAAAAAATTTTTGTTCGCATTTCTATTTCCTTAATAGAATTCTCATGTATGATATGACCTATTTTAATTGGTGAATTACAAATCAGAAACGTTTCTCCCTATAAGTTCGAAAACCCCTAAATTTTATATTATTATCCATGAATTGTATGAATTGTTCGGCATGAGCCATCTACACATTAAACCCTGAAAATCTTTTAATACATACTTTTTTATTTTATAATATCGACAAGAACAGAGAACAAGCTAGAGTATTATTAAACTAGACTATACTACATATATACAAGTATCACCTAACCCTGCAAATTTTTAATACTATGCTATACTTAGCCAATTATGCCAGGTTTTACAAAATCACGTGATTATAAATGTAAACTAAGCTAATATAGCATCCATTTATACAATGTTTATAATAAACTTGCAATATTTTTGTATGGCATTTAAAATAAATTTGTTATAAACTTGCATTATTTTTATACGATAACATTTTGGTTTACTCTTCCAAATTTGTTTCATTTGTTTTGTACAATTGGTTCAGGTGGCGCAGTAAATCTGTAGTTAATTTTGGCCGGCTCTATGGTATAATTCTGGTCGATCTTTAGATACGTGAGAGGATTCAACTCGGCAATCCCAGGCTATGGGATTAAGAAGTATACAGATATATTAACAATCATGCGATGATCATTATTCAAAAAAAGACAAACTCACGTAAGTGCTCGACGGGTTTTTGGGATTTTGCTTTGATATTTTTGGAAGGCCTCCATCACACACATCGTGATTGACTATTTTCTCTTGTAAATGGGAGTTTGTCCTCTTTATTAAGAGTTTTCTTGTCAAAGCTTTCCATAAGAGTTTCTTCCTTTGGTTCATCAAACAAGAGCGCCAGCCCTTCATCCATATCCGTTTTTTAAATTAAAAGCAATGTAACTACAACAGTAAGCCTTTTCTATAGCGAATTTTGTTATAACGAATTTCACGATATAACGAATCTTTAGTGCGGTCATATAAAAAATTTGTTACACCGAATTTTACTAATAAAATTATACAAATGTACTGTAAATGGTCTCTTTTTATAACGAATTTCTTTAAACGATTTTTTTTTTTAATATAATGAAGATTTTTGTAAGATAATTAAAATAATTTTAATATAGTTTTTATGAAAATTTTCTCAAATAAGCAAATTTTATCACTTTTAATTCATTTTATCATACCGAAAAATTAGTTATAACATTAACGAATTTTCTCATAACGAAGGCTTGATCGGCCCGGACGCCTACTTCAGGCCGATACAACACTTTAAGCTGAGATACTTTATATTGGAACATGAACGAACAATTTCTCTGATACCTGAATTGAACAAATATATATTGCTATAATTAATGTAATATTATACAATTCTATATTAACTTAAAATAATTACTTATTACGTAGAATTTAGTCTAATTATAAATAACTTGAACATTAACAGGATCATTTTTAGTAAATAGTTCATTTTTAGAGAGTTGTTTGCGCTTAATAACCCAATACCCTCCTATAAAGGAAATAAGAGCTGTGCCTATAATCGATCCAAACACTGCAGCTATAAGTCCACTCGCTGAGATAACACCCGTTGAGTTCGCCACCGTAGATGAATTAGATGAATTAGATGAATCAGAAGATGTCGTTGGTAATAAAGTATTAGGTATATCCGGCGATATTATCCTGTTATAATACAATAAAAGTTAATTTCGAGAGAAAATAACATCAAACTTAAAAAATTAAACTTAAATTTACCCAAAAAGATCCCATCTTGACGCGGTTGCACAATCTGTTTGATTCACATTAATAACTAAATCTTTGCCGCTCACACAAAGATTAGATGCTAAATTCTATTTTTAAGTACATACAGCATTAGCTACTATTAAAGCTATTAAAATTATTAACAGATTGAATTCATACCTTTATCAAACACAAAGTGTGATATTTTACCCAATTCGCTGAATTGGTACTGAGATTACATGCATCACATTCGATAGAGAATCTTTGGTTATTTCCGTTAGTGCTTCAGATTAAAAAAAACAAATATGATTATAATTAAGTACAAATATGAATATCATGTTGAAAGAATTAAATACTAACCTACGATTAATTTTAAGAGGAACATCAACATTATTGATATTTTCAGCTGGTATTTCAATAGCTATATCACCGATTAAGAAAAAAAGTTAATTAAGATGCAAATCAATATATTCGTTCAGAGATAATTTTTTATTATTTACTTAAATCTCGATAAAAACTAACAAATGGTCGAAATTCGTAAACACCAGTTGTTGGTTGTTTTAACATGAAAATTTCATTATCAGCTGGTCGGTCACCAGAGTTAAACGTTGTAATTAATGAGCCCGTAAGTCTATAAAATCATTTCATTAATATCGAGTTAAATAATTATATAATAAATAAATCCTTTTATATCTTACGGAACGTAAAATTGTATATTGAATCGCCAATTGGAAGAGAATGATAGACTTGTAGAAATGAAATTTCCATCCTTGATTTCTGGCGAACATGATGAAACTAATGCAATAAGAAAGTTAAAGGTTTTGTAGGATAACAAAAAAGAAAATAAACGCATGGTGTGTGCAAAGAAGAAAAGAAATGTTACCAGGAGTGAACAGTTTCAAATTTTCTATTTATATGAGTAGGGTTATATGCATGGAGATCATCACGTGTATTGCTTAATAGAGTTGTACAAAAAAAACTTAAAGATCTAAAATTTCCGGAAATCATTTTTGCATCGGAAATTCGGAATACATTAGATACTAAATGCTTGTTTCTTTGGAAGGGCCAGAAAGTTCAAAGTTTGATTACGATCATATTAAATTTACTGAAAAATTCCGGGTTTAAAAACTTTTTGGAAAATCCGGTAAAATTTTGAATGATTTTGTGTGCTGCGGCTTCACTCTATTTATGTTTTATGTTACACCGCTAAAATTCGTCTCACGTCTAATGTACTAATGTACAAATTTAAATTAGCATAAATATTATTTTGTAAAATGATATAAATAGTAAACTATTTTCTTTTCAAATATTTATTTTAAAGGAGAAAAAAATATCTTACGTGCAAGGAAACATAAACCTAAATAATAAAATGAATTAATTAAATGAGGAAAAAGTTATTTTCATTGTACAATAAAAAAAAAATATTATATAATATATAACAATTTCACAAAGTAAATTACAGGTAAATTTGATGTTTCACATTATAAGCAGGGAGCAATTAACATTGGTTGCCGTAATAATTCTCTGTTTTTAATTTGCCTTATACAAATACTGATTTGATCAACCAAACTTTACTTTTGATTGATCGATCATGTACAGTATATTAAAAACTCGTTAAATTTACTTATATTGTTGTCATTAAAATAATTCTGCAAATTAACATTTCACTTTTGTCAAAAATTATCCGAACCGACACAGTATGTACTATACTCTTCAAATACCGTATTTGTCCAAAAATAAGCAACCTTTTTTTATTACAGGGTTGCTTATTTTTGGGGTACAAATATATTACAACTTTTTTTTTTTATTAAGCTGCGCCAAATCATCATTTTATGATCAGGGAGAAGTGGAAAATTGGTAAATCAATGAAAGGATGATAATACTTTTAATGACAGAATAGAGCATTTCCTTCATTGATTTTAATGCCAGAATACCATAATTTTCTTTCGATTATAATTACATTTATTATATTGTCTGTTAACGAGTTGCTTATTTGTGGGTACCGTACAAATATGTTTATTTTTGGTGCTTATTTTGGGCAAATACGGTAGCGTAATATTATTTTAAAATGCTATTTCAATACATATTATAATAACATAAATATACGGGATACTATGCTAAAGAGATAGCGATGGAATGGATTTTTGGAAAAATCATTATTATACCAGCTCATGATATTTAGTACATCATGATCATGATGTATTAATCTCTCTTATAAGTAATGTTTAATTAAAACCTTTGCTTAAAGTTTTTCACCCTTATTCTCTGAAAACATAAAGTTGTTTATTAATATATTTATTTCAAATTTTTTCAATTAATTTATTTTATTTAAATACTGTTTATACAATGAAAAGTTCTGAGCGAAGTTTTAATACTGCTGTATATATAGTACAAGATTTTAAATTAGTAGCAATGTAACAGGCGTTCTAAGCACAGATCATCCTATTTCGTTATCTTCCCCACTTTCTTATTAATACATTAATACCTTTACAACACTTTAAGTTGAGATACTTTATATTGGAACATGAACAAAAAATTTCTCAGATAGCTGAATTGCCAATTATACATTGCTATAATTAATGTAATATTATATTAATATACTTATTACGTAGAATTTAGTCTAATTATAAATAACCTGAACATTAACAGGATCATTTTTAGTAAGTAGTTCATTTTGAGAGAGTTGTTTGCGCTTAATAACCCAATACGCTACCATAAAAGAAATAAGAGCTGAGCCAATAATCGATCCAAAAACTGCGGCTATAAGTCCATTCGCTGAGATTACACCCATTGAGATTCCACCCGTTGAGATTCCACTCGTTGAGACTCCACTCGTTGAGTTCGCTATCGTAGGTGAATCAGAAGTTGTCGTTGGTGATAATGTATTTTTAGGCACATCAGGTGATAACATCCTGTTATAATGTATTATTAAATTTTAATTTTCAAGAAAATAACATCAAACTTGAAATTAAATTTACCCAAAAAGATCCCAATTTAACCATTTTGGATCTGTTGCACAATTTATTTGAGTCACATTGCCAACATTATCTTTACCGCTCGCACAAAGTTTAGTTGCTGAATTCTATTTTAAGGATAACACAGCATTAATTATTACTATTAAATTATTAATTTATTAAAGAACTGATTCTTTACCTTTATCTGGCATGAACTGTGGTATTTTACCCATTTCTCTGAATTGGTGTCGAGATTACATTTATCACATTCAATAAAGAATTTTTGGTTATCTCCGTTAGTGCTTAAGATTTAAAAAAAAAATTATAATTATTATATATAATTAAATGTAAATATGAATATATTAAAAGAATTAAATGCTAACCCAATATTAAGTTTTAAAGGATCACCAACAATATTGGTGCCTTCAATAACTATATCATCGATTAAGAAAAAAAAGTTAAATAAGTTACAAATCAAATATATTCGTTCAAAAGTAATTTTTATTTATTTACTTTTAGTTCGAGAAAAATCATTAAATGGCCGAAACTCGTAAACACCAGTTGTTGATTGTTTCAACATGAAAATTTCATTATCATCTGGTTGGACATCAGAATTCCACGTTATAACATTTGCACCCACATTTCTATACAATTTAAGACCATCTCATTAATTTTCAAGTTAAATAATTGTATAATAAATAAATTCTTTTCATATTTCTTACGGGATTATATTATTTATATTGAATCGCCAAATGTTAGAGATTGATAAACTTATTGCAATAAGATTCCCGTCATTTATTTCTGGTGAACATGATGAAGCTAATGCTACGAGAAAGCTAAGAGCTTTATAATATAATAAAAAAGAAAATAAACGCATAGTAGGTGGTATAAGGAGAAGTGTGATTTTGTAAAGTATGTTGATCAGTTTTTAAATTTCTATTTGAATTTGTTTTTATAGTAGCACAATATCTAAATCCTTATGTGAAGTGTGAATCAACAAAGTATGGACTTATATAGTATACAAATAAAAATATGCGTGATTATAAATAATAGCTCCTTTTCTCAAATAAGCCAATTTTGCAATTTTGGAAAAAAAGAATTTTTTTTTCATGTATAAAATATTTAAAGTTGGCTTATTTTAATTATTTAAAATTATTTTTTTTTTCTTTGTTCGCATTTCTACTTCTTTAATAGGATTCATAAGTATATTTTTACGGGTGAAACTACAAATGCGAAACGCATCTTATATTTAAACTTCTTAAAAGTCCGAAAACTCCGAAGCCCTGTCAACACTATTATTATGTATGGATTGTGCGCCATGCGCCATCTGCACCATTCGAAAAGTAAGCCCTGCGTAGATATTTTGAATAACATACTATACTTAGCTAAATGATTTTCATGGTTTTACAAAATCACGTGATTATAAATAATTATTTTTTTCCTTAAAGATTAACGCAAGAGCACGGTCCAATGCAGTTAGTTGATCCAGCCAAATAATTGTAATTTTTTTTTTTATTTTAAAAAAAAAAAATCCATAGTAAAATTATATAAGTCAATGATGTTAAAAATTAAATTGAATTTTTACCAATTTTTTTAATGTAATAAATTAAAGTTTTGGTTGCGGATCCTGCATATACTCTCAAAATTTTAATTTCAACACAGTAATTCACATACTACTTTTTTAAGATCTAATTTTGTCTTTTCATTGGTTAACCCAATAACCTCTACCCCTACTATTTCTTTCTATCACTCTTTAAACTCAAATATAAATAGTCGGTAATGAATAATTTCTTTTTTCTTCTTTTGTTCTTGGATATACATTTATCTTCACTATCGTCATCTCTAGTAATATTCAGGTACTGTAATTACAGCTATTTGCAAAAATAACGGACCACCTAATTCGATTTTCGACTGCGTATGAAATTTTCATACGCAGTCATACGCAGTAATGCACGTATAGTAAACTGCTAAAATTATTGTGATATAACTGCGGATGACTGCATATGAAAAATTCAAAAAATGAGTTTGACGATCCGGGCAGATATTACCATGCTTATGACTGCGTATGAAAATTTCATACGCAGTCGAAGAATGAATTAGGTGGTTCGTTATGTTCGAAATAGCTGTAATAAATTTGTCATGCTGAAACTAATTGTAAAAGACTAACAAAATTTTATTTCGTTTATGATAATAGAATCTTCTCAAATTGATATTTCTCAATTAAAAATTTAATGTGCCATTTGATAAAATTGTAATTTTTTATGCCTTTCATGTTGTAAAACAAATTATTATACGGCCATATAGGATCACGTAAACGTTATACCAATATTCCGTATTCAAAAATGTGTTTGTAACATTATTTAAGATTAATTAATAAATACATATTTTAATTTATGTTTTAATTACATATTAACTATACGGAATACTACGCTAATGAGTTACTAGCGTTTTTCTTTTTAATACTGATTTTTTGTATTATTTTATTTATTTTGGTTGAGTACTGTCCTATAAAAAAAAATGTCCGGAAATTTGTAGCTAAAAACATCCGGAAAATGTCCGTGTGTTCGGAAACGTCCAGAAAATTGTGGACACTGGGCCTGAACCCTCCTGGACATTTTCTGGACATTTTCTGGAAAATGGAAATTTTTTCAACGTCCGGAATATTGCAATATTCCGGTCATATTCCAGACAAATGAACATTTTCCGGACGTTTTTTAGCTACAATTTCCGGACATTCTTTTTTTATAGGGGCGCTAGAAAAGTTGAAATTTTTTTGCCATGAAAATTTAAGACTGCGATATTAATATATTGGCCCGATATAATTTCAGATATTAAGATATTAAATATATTGCAAAAGGGTTTCACTCGCCCATTCCAAGTGTTCTAGTCAGCTTGGTCTCTAGACTGAGCGTCCAAGTCCGGAGGCTTCCCTTGGATCCCAAAAGTGGATTTAATGGATCTAGTATAAAATGAATACAAATAAATATCTGAATTTAAGATTTTGATATCTTGATTTCAGATGAAATCATAAAATATAAGTGTGATCTAATTCTTTTTTTTTTTACTGTAAATGTTTAAAAACAAAAACTTAATCGATTTAATTCTATAATTTATAATTTGTAAAAATAATTGAAAAGAATGAAATAAAGCAAAAAGTAAAGAAAATATAAAAAATAATAAAAAATAAAAGAAAAAATAATTACCCATACAGTATAAAATAGCAGACTAAACTTTTATGCCCGTATTATACCTGTGAACTATTTTTTACAAAGATTAAAAAACAATATATGTAAATATATGTCGTATATGTCAGGTATACGACCATATTTAAAAGTTTTTTTATTAGGGAAATATTAAAAATAATATGTTTAAGTTGAGTGGAGGATGAAAATACGCGATAGATAATTTTTATTCATCTAGACCTTATTCACCTTAAAACATTTAATAATAGAACTGGTTATTGCAAAAAAATTCTTATCAATAAAAAGATCAAAGGTATAGTAGAGAAATATTTCATATCAAAAGTTTAGTTATAAATGTTTTTTATATTTTCATCAACGGTAGAAATTTATCATATTTTTTTACTAATACAGTAAAAAAATGTATAGCATTGCCTAAAATATCCAGGTCTAAATCAATTTACTCGAATTAAAATTGAATTATACCCAAGGTATATTAGGTGGGAGGTATTTTATTATTAGAAGAGTTATATTTAAGAGATAACAGATATTAAGTAGGATATAACCTCCGGTAGTTCTCCGATGTTGTATAGTTGATGAAAACATATACAGTATAGTATTTCCGGCATGATATCGAAAACTTCTATACTCATTACTCAGAGTATAGTTAATTTTCAACCATACCAAAATACTATACTGTATAGATTTTTATCAACTATACAACATCGGAAAATATCCGAGTCTATATCATTTTTTTTTACGTCTAAATGCCTGGGTATAATATAACGAGGTATGCCGAAAAGGTCTTTTATGCGGTACCATAAGTGTCTGCTCACAAAAAATTTATATTTCATCTATTGGGTAAGACCAAATGGTTTATAATTAAATCATCATCATTTATTTAAACTTTAAGACCTATTTACTCAATACTTTCTATAAAAAATGAATACAATCTCAATTAATTAATTAATTATTGTAAAAAAAAAATTAGATAAAATATAACATATTATACCTTCATTACTAATTTTCAATCGAGAAATACTAATTTGTAAGGATTCTATTAATTATAAATAAATTTTATTAATTGGTTCAAAAATATTTAAAATAGTGATTATTTTAATTACCCGAATATTCCATGTTTGAAATATTATTATATGATTTATAATAATTATGAGAGTTTTTTGGTTCAGGAAGATTGTTAAAATTAAGTAATCTACTTGTATAAACTGCTTCAGAATGTGTTTCATACGATAAGGATAAGCTACTTGAAGGAGTAGTCATATTTGACGATTTATTATTATTCATTTCTTCTGCTTCTTTAATTTGTTCAGTTAATTCAGTTTGAATATATCTTCTAGAGTTGGTCTCTTTCTTCCATTGTACCAAAATTTCTTTAATTTCCTTTGCATTTGGTCTATTTAAAGGGTTTGCATCTAAGCATTTTTTAATTAAATGCAATATTAATTGAGGTACTTTAATTTTAAAATTTGGTCTAAGTCCTTGACAAATTTTTATTGCTAATAGTTCATCATGGCTTATATCATGATATGGAGGTAATCCTTGAATTACTTCATACATAATTATACCAAAACTATAAATGTCTGCGGCCTTGGTATATATTTGTCCTCTTAAAATCTCAGGAGCTATGTAAGGTAAAATACCATATGTTTTATTTTCTATATTTTCCGTTGTATTACAATCTGCAGGTTTACATAACCCCATATCAGTTATAAATATCTTATGTGGAAAACATAATATATTACCAATATGTAAGTCACGATGAATTAATTCATTTTGATGAATTTGATCAAGCCCACTTACAATATCAAGTAAAATTTGAATAATATTTTTCCAATTTAAACTACTATAATTCTGATCTAAATAATTGCGTAAACTCCCACGCTCTGCATATTCCAAAACCATCATATAATTTTCTGTTTCTGGTTCTTGAGTTATTCCATAAAACCTAACAATATAAGATGTAATAAACGTATTTATTTTGTTATGATGAAATGTAATCTAAATAATAAAATTCATTAATGATTGTATAAATCATATTTTTAACGCAAAATAAAATAGTTAGTTAATTTATACCTCGCTAATAAATGCCGATGTAACATTTTTTGAGTTATTTAAACTTTTTAATGCTACAAACATATTAGGCTGAAGTCTACCCCAATTTTGAATTTTATTGTCCCACATAAATATATATCCATCCTTCCACTTTGCTCTGTATACTTTGCCAAACCCTCCTTTTGCAATATATTTAATATCGCGAAAACTTTCATAGGATATCCACTCTAATATATTAAAATGTTGCTTTGCAGATAGTTGAGTTTCTTGAATAAATTTATCAATATCTCTGTTACCACTAGTCCAATTATTAAAATTTTTTCGAAAACGTTCTACGTTACATGTGTAACACCAATTGAAATCTGTCATTATTTGATTACATTCTTCACATCTTCCATACCTATCAAATAACTGTTGTAATTCCGGATTTAACTTTGCATTTAATTCAGATTCATTCATAGTACTGTAGTATTAACAGTATGAATAAATTTGAATTAAATATGGTTTTTTATTCCGGTTTGTTTATACTATTTATTTAGTTCCGGAAGAATATCTTATAATAATCTCCGTAATAAACAACCCTAAATAGGCAATTGCGTAACAAATGTTAATCTTCATTGAATTAACGTAAAAAGTATTGTTTAAAACTATTGTTTTTCTGCTTTCTCAGTTCAATGAATATTTCAAATATATAAAATATATAACGAACTATTCATAATTTTACTGCAGAAAAGGAAAATGAAATCAAAATCTCCAAAAATGATTTTTTTTTTTTTTTTTCATGATAAGCCAAAAAAAAAAAAATCATTTTTTTATACCATATCAGAAAGTTATGATTTTGGTTTCTTCTTCCCATGTATAATAAAACTTATACCACATAGAATTAATTATCTTAATACTAATATTAAACACGTTAATAATCACATAACTATTTTTACTTCTAAATGCAATTATCCGGTTAAAATAAATCCAAAATATAATGATAAAGAGTTTTAAACACATTAAATTATCAAATTGAGATAATATTAGGAAATTAAGTACATTTACTTTTTTTAACAAACTCTTTTTTTTTTTGGAAAATAATATTATTTTTTTGTTATTTATATAATAAATATCTCAATTAAATAATTTGTTATTTATAACGTAATTTGTTATTTATAACCATTAATATTGTAATGAGAAAAAAATTATTATTGTAAAAGATAAAACAAATTGTATATAACCCTGAAAAACTGAACCATTTATTTCTTTTTATAATCAAAATAATTTGTATATGGTAATGATGGCGTTTAAGTGTTACATCAGATCATTAAACATGACGTATTCAAACAACTATAATGGAATTCAGAATTTTATAAATAACTTACAAACTATATTAAACAACAATAATTTTATAAACAAAGAATTTAATTAGTTAAATTATATATAAATAGTAATATAAATATATAATAATAGAATTAAATTATATATAATTACTATATAAATATATAACAACTGAAATAACTTACAAACTATATTATTAAATAAATAATTTTCAAAAAAAGAATTATATGTAAATTTATTTAATTCTATTATTACAAATACGTACATATTATAATAATTTATTAATCCTTTTTCTAACACTTAATAAAATTTTAAAAAAGTTAGTATTAAAAAGAAAAAAGTCCAATAAAAGTTTAAATAAAATGCTCAATCCCGGGACACTTTTGAAAACATAAAAGGGAAAAAATTTGCTATAGTATCCGTATGATTAATATGTTATTAGAGCACATATATCGACTTAAAATAATGTTACAAACACACTATTAAGGACGAAATATTGGTACAACATGTACTTACAGGACCGTATAATAAATTGTTATAATTTGGCACGTTAAATTTTTAATTGGGAAATATCGATTTGTAAAGATTCTATTATCATAAACGACATAAATATACGTTATTCTTTTACAATAAGTTTTAACATGACAAAATTATTGACTATAGTACCTGAATATTCCATATTTGATATATTTTCGTGAAATTTGGAAGGTGTATTTATGGCTGATAAATTATTATTCATTTCTTCTGCCTCTTTAATTTGTTTTATTAATTCAGTTGAGTTATGTGTTCTCGAATTAATCTCTTCTCTCCACTCCTTTAAAATTTCTTTAATTTCTTTTGAGGTTGGTCTATTTGACTGATTTGCATCTAAGCATTTTTTAATTAAATGCAATATTAATTGAGGTACTTTAATTTTGAAATTTGGTCTAAGCCCTTGACAAATTTTTATTGCTAATAGTTCATCATGGCTTATATCATGATATGGAGGTAATCCTTGAATTACCTCATACATAATTATACCAAAACTATAAATATCTGCGGCCTTGGTATATATTTGTCTTCTTAAAATCTCAGGAGCTATGTAAAGTGAAATACCATATATATCATTTTTTGTATTTTCCATCATATTATAATTTACAGGTTTACATAATCCCATATCAGTTATAAATATTCTATGAGGAAAACATAATATATTACCAATATGTAAGTCACAATGAATTAATTCATTTTGATGAATTTGATCGAGTCCACATGCAATGTCAAGTAAAATTTGAATCATATTTTCCCAATTTAAATTACTGTAATTCTGATCTAAATAATTGCGTAAACTCCCACGCTCTGCATATTGCAAAACCATCATATAATTTTCTGTTTTTGGGTCTTGAGTTATTCCATAAAATCTAACAATATAAGATGTAAAATACGCATTTATTGATTTGTGATGAAATGTAATCTAAATAATAAAATTCATTAATAATATTGTATAAATCATATTTTAAATGCAAAATAAATAGTTAGTTAATTTATACCTCGCTAATAAATGCCGATGTAACATTTTTTGAGTTATTTAAACTTTTTAATGCTACAAACATATTTGGCTGAAGTCTACCCCAATTTTGAATTTTATTGTCCCACATAAATATATATCCATCCTTCCACTTTGCTCTGTATACTTTGCCAAACCCTCCTTTTGCAATATATTTAATGTCGCGAAAACTTTCATAGGATATCCACTCTAATATATTAAAATGTTGCTTTGCAGATAGTTGAGTTTCTTGAATAAATTTATCAATATCTCTGTTACCACTAGTCCAATTATTAAAATTTTTTCGAAAACGTTCTACGTTACATGTGTAACACCAATTGAAATCTGTCATTATTTGATTACATTCTTCACATCTTCCATACCTATCAAATAACTGTTGTAATTCCGGATTTAACTTTGCATTTAATTCATTTAGTTCAGATTCATTCATAGTACTGTAGTATTAATAGTATGAATAAATTTGAATAGTTTTTTATTCCGATTTATACTATTTATTTCGGAGGAATATCTTATAAATAACCTTTGCATCCGTCCTCCATAAACAACCCTAAATAGGCAATTGCGTAACAAATGTTAATCTTCATTGAATTAACGTAAGCGTAACTATTGTTTTTCTGCTTTCTCAGTTCAATGAATATTTCGAAATACTACATCAGGAGAATAAAAATAAGCGTAGATTTACAAAATAATACACGTGTGAAAAACTACGCAAATCTACACCACTCGCGACGATATACGATTGTGAAAAATTTAGAGGAATTTTCAATAGTATTTTTAAAAATGACGTAGTTTTTTTAATAGTAAAAAATAGTGTGGTTATTCTCAAATTTTTTCCCATTTTATTATTTATTATTTTTTTTTTTTACTTACACTAGTAGGAGCCGAACTGAAGCATTTTTATTTTTTTTACTTACACTAAGAGTCGAACTGAATACCTCACTATTAATTACATTTTATTTATTTATTTTTTACTTACACTAATCGAACCGAATACCTATTAATATATTAAGTATCATTATCCGACCACTACACTATTTGTTCTTTTTTTTTAATTATTAGTATTATATTCATATTTATCTAGAATTAATATGTATTTATGTAATTTTTTTAGTGTAGATATATCTATTTGTGTAAATTTTATGCAACTTTTTTAAATACAAAATTATTCAAATATTTTAAGTTACATTTTCGCGTGGGTTATGCAAAATCATGTATTTATGCAAATTTCTAAAGTGTAGATTTCTGAAACTACCTACTTATGTAGAATTTATGAAACTTTTTAAGATACAAATCAACGAAATATTTTTTTAAATTGTTTTTATGTGTAGATTACTTAAATCATATATTCAAGAAGTTATTTCAAGATAAAAAGTGTCATAAAATTTTCGTGAATAGGTAGTTTCGAAGTTTTATAAGATACGCCTTATTAAAATAATATGCATACAATAAAAAATTAATTTAAATCTAATTACAATTAAATTATGAATGATGATAAGCAGGAAATTTATAAACATTAAATATTGGTATAATATTGAAATCGATATATTTGCAAATTAGTCAAATATTATAGTCAATTTTTTTGTTATTCATATTAATACCTCAATTAAAAATATTGGTAAATCGTTAAAAAAAATGAAATTGTGAAAGTTCTTTATATAACATAAGATAGTATTGTCCCGATTGTCACGTTATTTCCTTTGTATGGACAAGATCAATTATTAAGCATGGCGTAGTTTTTAATTATAAAGTGCAAATACTAATTTTGTTTAATTTTGTAACAGCTTATTATACTATGCAATTTTAAAGTAATATAATATCATATGAATCAATAATGCTACCCTCTGGATTTTATTCGTTTATTTTTACAAAATTTTAATACCAGATGCGCACTCTTCTGAAAACCCTGCGTACAGAAATAGTAAAATTCATAAAGTACCCGACCTTTATATATAATTTTCTGGTTCTTGAGTTATTCTATAAAATCTAACAATACAATACGATAATTTAATATTTTATTGGATTATTTAAACTTGGCTGGAACCTACGTACATACATACCAGATCCGCCTCTCGCAATATATTGTGGGGTATCTACTTTATAATATATTATTAAAATGATGTAGTGACTGGTAGTCATATCGGAAAATAATGTTGCGATACTAAGCACGTTTTTCCTTTTAAAAGAAGAAAAGAAGACGCAAAATTTGTAATGGATAATATGTTCTGGATAGAATTATAACAAAAATTTTACTTTTAAATAATATATTTGTATATGGCGCAGCAAATTAAGAATAATTTATTCTCTGTTTAGATATTCTCTATATTCTTTCCACGTAGGGGTTTTTTTAAATACTGTACATCATCAGTCGAATGGTTTATAAATTTATAAATCATTGAATAATACTATACCTTTTTCAAATGAAGATAGTGGCGTCTAATAATTTTATTCCCAGTATGAAATAACTAAAATAGTTTATTCGTTGCTTTTGAAAAAAAAGAAAGATCAACAAAGCTTCTACAGATGGAAATTTCTGAATTACAATAATTTCAAAATAATTGTCCTTTTTTGAACCTACAGTATTATGTATGGCTAGCTAATAACTTGCATCTAGAACAGGATGACGGACAACGATTAGTGACATTACTGAATCTGATGCAACAAGACTTCTTTTCATATTCTTCAATGATTGAACTTTCTACTATCTGAAGAAGGTTTAACAACTTGTGAATGGCAAAGAGGAATACAAAACGAACCGGTACCAATAAGGAACTCATTTTGAATAATAATAATAATAATAATAATAATAAAACGAGAAATAATTACCAGACTTAGAATATATAATTACCATTCGATTATATATTGAACTATCAAGTCAATCCATATAACAAATTAAAACGATATTTATAAAACCGTTTTTGGAACTCCAGTTAATTTTTTATTTTCTTCGTTAAATTATTACATCATTCAATTATTATCTCTTTTTGGCATAATTATCCAGTCTTGTACAATAATATATTCTTGAACGATAAACCCATGCTGGATTTTGAATTTAGTAAATTATCAGTAGACATGTAAGTAAATGAAATCAGAGTGGGAGAAACTTTCTATCCAAATAGATTGTATTAACCATGCTGTTAATAATCATGTTGTTATTGTAAGTCATATATGCATAATTTCTCAAAAAGATTGTCTCAGCTCCAAGTGTTAGGCTAGATCAATATTTATTCAGGTGGCATAAAAACAAATTGTCCGGTTATCGTGGCGGTGTGCGCAGCTAAACGGATAATTTTTTTGAGGCACAGTCTTTATATACGTGCCGTCGGAAGGAATTGTAAAATCAATTGTTATCAAATATATAAACCCATCAGGAAGCCACATCTATAACGTTTATGTAAGGAAATAAAAATTAAAAAGTAAATAAATAAAAAACATACGGTTGTATCCGGTAGTCAATTTTGAACCCTGGTAGAATCCGGTAGTTAAAATTTAAAACCTTAAACCCGATATTAACGGATATCCGTTATAATCCGTTAATAACGGGTTATGGGTCTGAACACTATTCCTAACCAGGATTATAGGATCAAATATCGTAGAGGTGTGCTTTGCCCGAATCGTTGGATTTTTTGTTTAAATTAAAAATACCATTTTTTGTAAAGAAAATAAAAAAAAAGTTGTAAATAGATCGATCATCCACGAAAAAAACACAGTGCGGTGTATAAACAAAACAAAAAAAAGGTGGCTTATTTATGTTGTGGCTTCCTTATGGGTAGAGTTACGATCCGGATGAATTAGAAAGAGCACATTTTGGTAATTATACACGGATTTTAATTAATAAAGATTAAATTTTTTTTTTATAAATTATAAGACTGCATCCAATGCACAATCTAGTAGTTTGAAAAATTACTACAAAAAAAAGAGAAAATAAAAATGGATTGATTTTTCATCCGATCCGAATGAATTTCAATCCGTTTTAATTTTCTCGTTACTTTTATTTTTGAAGACAATTTTTTTTATTATATTATGTATTGATAGATATTCATAAGATATCTAAAAAAAAATTCTTTTATTACTCAATATTCATACAATGAAAAAAAAAACTTTACAGTAAATAAACGTCCAAGAAAAATAATTGACCGTCGTTATCCCTTGCATTTAGTCATTTGGCACTTTTTTCTATTATATATATTCCAAAAAAAATCTCTTCAGTCAAAATTTTTTTATCAAAAATTAATAAAGAAAAAAAATATATATTTAACCAAAAAATTCTTTCTTAAAATTACACTTATTAATTATATAATTCATTTAATTAATTTAATTATGTCTTCCAAAACTACAAATCAGCCAAAGCCATGGAGACGATACCATTGTGAACATTGTGAAATGATGCAACTACAGTAAGAGAAGCAAGCCTCATGAATAAAGGCATCCGAATGGAAATCGTAAATTTTTCAATATTAGCGATCCGTCATGTATACATCCAGCAGCAGCAGCAACGACAATGCCGGCAGTAGCATCATCAGCATCAGAAGCGGCATAAAGAAAAGAAAAAACAATAGCGGAATCAGCAGCAATAACAACAATAACAGAAATGAAGCTAATTCACGCCCAGATCAATTATCAGAGGGTACGATCACTCAGATTGTTGTAACGAGATTATTGGGACCACTACTATCACCGCCACAACCGACGACATATCTGCACGTGATCCAAACGGGCGGAATGCCGTACCCACAATTTCTTCAATGTTTTTGGATATGAACAAAGATGTCTTTGTTTAATTAAGAATATTTCTTTCAATTGATATATTTCCCTTTAATTCCTCAAGATACTAAATCGGTTGAAAAAGAACTTGAAGAGGCAAGGAAAGAAGTGGAGAAGATCTAGATGCTGCAAATAGAAAATAAATTTGCGTGAATATGAAAAGTTTAAACTGATGGGAGAAAAGCGATATTTGGAGAAAGAAATTATACAATTGAATAAAGAAATTGATAAATATAAAAGGAAGAGATAACAAAAAAATTTTTCTATTTGTATAATAGTGGTGACTGAGACATCTTGTAATAATAGTAAATTCAATAGATAATATCTGGTCTTTTTAATATTTTATTTTTCAGTTAGAACTAAAATTAGACAAATGTTACTCATTCTGAACTCTGAAGTAAATTTGATAGTTTTTTCTTATGTTATATAACAAGATAAAAAAATTTTAATAAGTGAATAGCCTTTCTAAGACTAAGTAAACATGTTCATATATATTTTTACTATTATTAACGTTAACGTTAAAAAATAAAAATCCAAGAAAGATCTTGAGTATAAAGTTTAATATTTATTATATATAATAAATTTTGATTTTTAATAGTAAATGTAAAATAAATAAAAGTAATATGTTATATATGAAGTATGAACAAATAAAAGGGAAAAAATCGATCATTAATAATGTTTTTTCGTTGTATGAATTTTATTCGGTTAATATGTGAAAAATTAGAATTTAAAAAAAATGAATCCTTTTGAAAACAATAAAATTTTATTCATCTATAAGATGCTCGTTTGGTTTTTTTTTTCAAAAAACAGGTATGATCTTTGTTAGGTTTGACATATTTGATATGTACCGTCTAGTATTCTAAATTATGAGTACTTTTTGGTGTTATAGTATATAGTATTAAAGTAAGTTTGAGCTTAAATTAGTTGAAACGGAATTTTAATATACTGTATAGTAACCGGTGCTAAATGGTCACTTAGAATTTGTATTTCATATCAGTTGAAATTTATTAAAAGACGCGTTAAATATCATTTAGGTACAATAAAAAAAAAACCAATAATAATTATATTATTTTTTGTTAATCTAGTGATCAATGATCGTAAGCGAAATTTATTAACGAATGCTGAACCAATATAATGATAGATGTTATAGTATTCAGCCTTTAACCTTAAACCATGTTTATCAATTTTAGTATCGAAAAACGGAATAAATATGAGGATGCGGTATTCTATTATTACTATTATTGTTTCTATCGTGGTTATTACTTCCTTTTTCCAATCATATTTCATAAATTTCATCTGGATATCGGACTAATTCTTTTTGAAATGTTGGATCAGTCTCATTGTTTGTTATATATTTGTATCAGAAAATTAGTAGTGAAAATTATATATTTTGTCCGTATGCCTAAAAATAGTTCTTTTTGAAAATACATGTTCAAGTTCTTTTATCCAACGCGCCTGTTTTACAGGAACAATGGAACGTTAATTCTAGCACGATCAATTGTTTAAATGTATAGAATGATGGATGCTAATATCGATCTTAACTAGTGACTTACAACGAATTCTTTAATTTTCAGACCAATGAATTACTTTCATTCATTAATAGATAAAATCAGATACTTGACATTTGACACATGATGATGCAACACATGTGATGCTATCTGCTTCATCTGTTTTGCGAACATCTCAGAAAGGTCATCTAACCAAATTTAAGACTTGAGACCGGGTTAATTTAGGATATAGTAGAGTTTGGGCTACAATAGCACTTCTTTAATTTAATTTGAAAATCGTCATTATTTATATATAAGAAATTGCCCTATTACGAGAGACTTTTAAAAAGTGCACTATGATCTTTCCCAAAATTACGCATAGAATTATAATGGTCAAAGGATAAGATCTTTTTATATATCACAGCATAAAACTGCACGAAATTTATTATTTGAAAACATTCGTTATCAATTACATTATAAAAAAAAAAAAAATTGAAACTAAATTAAGAATACTATTTATGAAAAAAAAAAAAAAAAAATTATTATTATAAAAATAATAATAATAATAATAATCTACTAATATTTCAACCAAATTTTGGCATGTTGCGTTTCGATATGTAAGTGATTTTCAACAATGTAAATACTTATTTCAAAATTATAAAGTTCTGACATCAATCTCATGTAATTATGTAGTGAACGATTATTATTTAAAGAAGAATCAATGAAGGAGTTAAATCCAAAATTCTTCAAATTTGAATTATTAACTTTAATGTATTTAACAATTGCTTCCAGATACCCAAAATCCATCACAGTATAAAGATCTAATGTGGTTATAGGTACTTCCATTTCATTAAGAAGTAATTCTAAAATTTTTGGATTGATAAATATATCAAGTCCCAAATGTCTTAAAGATGAAGGAAATGATTTAGCGAAAGTACTATAATTATATTTTATTCGACTACTTCTTGAATCGTGATCTTCCACTAAAATTAAATATTTGAGATTGTTTAAAGATGATAAAATATCAACAAATTTAGAGAAATACTTTGGAAGTATTTTTAATGATAAATAAGTTAATGAATTCTTACAATAATCTGAAATTGATTGAATTATTGTATCATTAACATGTTCTACTGTAAGTGTTTTTAAATTATCATTAGATAAATCTAATAAAACTTCAACAGCTTTGATGTAATTCTTCTTATTGTATAATTTATCGAATTTAATTCGATAAAATTTTAAATTCTTGATATGAATTGAAGCGATATTATTCTTTTTAGATGTACAAAATTCTACGACATCATAATCACTAAAAAAATTTGTAAATTCCAAAGTTTCCAACGAATGATGAATGGCAAGAAAAGGTAATAATCCTTCCATATCACTAAAATATGGAAATTTTAATGATCTCAAAGAATTTTTTGTTTTTTGATATTTAGTTAATGAAGAAAAAAAAGTATCAGATCCATTCTCATCTCGCCATTCTTCAAAGAAACTAACAGATTGAAGATTTTGTTGATTTAAAATTATTCCAGAGGTTACCTTGCGAACAAAATTAATATGTTCAAAAAATGCTTGATCAATAGCTGAATGTATAATTAAATTTTGAATTTTATTACAATATAAAGTTAATTTTCTGAAAATTTCTGAAATAGCTTTAATAAATTCTTTCTGATGACAAGTCGGTTCATATCCTCGATAAGAGTATTTAAATGATTCAATATTTTTCATAGCATTTTCAAAATATCCAAACTTTGAAATATCATAAAGTTCTAAAAAATTGGAAGTAACTTCTTCATCAAATAATTCTCCTGGATCACCGAAATAATCAAAATCTTCATTTATTTTCTTAAAATCATAATCAATAGTTAAAGATACAAAACCTCGAGTATTTTTGAATAAATAACTTCCAACTAGTTGATATATAAAAATCATTTCGTCATATTTTGGTTTTCTATTTAATAATTTAAAGAGCCAGTTACTGACTGAAATTTTGAAGGTCGAAAGATCAAAATGTTGTATAAAGGACGAATAATTAAATGAAGTAGAAAATAATGTTGATGATAAAGATGATGAATTAAAAACTCTCCTTCGTAATAAATGACCCTTCCATTGAACATCAAAATTTTGTATTAGAGTTTGAATTATTTTAAAATTTTCAAATTTAAAAGGATTCATCCAAAGTAATGGAATAGCTATTTGACACCAATCACGATTTACTTGGATACAGTTGTATAATGTACATTGATCATTAGTGAGATATAATAAGATTTCCAAAATACAATCGTTAACAATTTTTGGAGCTGTAGTTGTCATAATAGAATTTTTGCAAATTTATAAGAAAAAAAAAGGAGAGATCAGAAAAAGTAAAAAAAAGCTTTATATAACAATTAATGACTATCATGTGATCTAATGTGTAACGTCTAGACCGCAACTGTATTAATCACGTGACGATTACTCCGAAAAAAATTTAGTCCTATTTGCAAGTGTTTCTCCTAAATCTGGTTTATTCTTGCAAAATGATGTTATATTACATTTTTTTTAGTTTTATAATATAAGTAAGTAACTCATTTTTAATTGCTGCAGATGTATTTATGTATTTATAATATCTATCATAATATTACATTTTTATAGTTCTTTATGTATTTTTAAATTTTATTAATTAATTTATTTAATTTACTTAATTTATTGAATTTTAATCGTTATAATTGTTTTAGGTGAAAAAAAAATGTAATTGTAAAAAATGTAATTATGGTGAATACACATAAAGCAACATAATTTTTATTATATCAGATTAAATTCTCATTTTCACGTGTAGTATAAAATAATCTTTTTCCCCAGTGCATTTACGCAAAAGAATTGCATATTATAAAAAATCAAACGATATTATCTAAAAAAAAACTCTGATTTGATCCGGCACTTCTCAATAAATTTACTACGCATCGCTCTATCTTATCATGTCCAGTTTAACATCATTCAACTCTTCAGAAAGCATGCCATTTTTGGCCTTTATCCGCTATTTTTTCATTCGTTATTTTGGCGATATTCATGGGGATTGTTATCATATGGATGATTCCTCAAACAAAAAATCTCCGACGAACTCACCACTCGTGATATAAAAATCAGTACGTCTATCACTGCGGAGGTCACCAAAATTAAGATACTAAAATCGCGGATGATCTCTCCTCACGTGATGTAAGTATTTACTGCGCCGACTTGTAATAAAAAAATTAAGAGTCCAACCTTTTTAATCAATTGTACTACGCATATCATCATTATCAATTAACGAATTCATTTCTCGGTTAGTAAATCGGCAAAATAGTACTACATCAAATAAATTAAACACGAAAAGGACACGTAAAATAATAATGACCACTAGACTATCAAAAGAAATAATTTCATTTCTTTATCACCCAGGTAAGTATTTTCTCGTTGCTTTAATAAGCTTATTTAACCTCACTGCTAATACTAGCTTCTTCTAAAAATACTAAGCCTCCTGGGGAATGGGGAGTTAACGATTGGATTTGTATTACATCAAAAAAGTACCTGATGCGAACAGACGTGAATCTCATAATTCGCTTGGAGCCGAGCTAAAATTCTTCTTGCATTACTACCGGAAAAAGAGCCCCAGTATCAGTGCGCAAGTAGTTTGAAGCAACGACTTAAAGTTAAGTTCTACTTTAGCATATTTGCACAAATTACACTCCCGCGCCCGCCGGCCGAGTGACTTTGTCACAGAAGGCAACCGGTTCGCTTGCCTGAAGTGGAGTGTTGATGTTGTGCATGTTTAAATGAAACCACACCCCTGCGCCTGCTGGCCGAGTGACTTTGTCACAGAAGGCAACCGGTTCGCTTGCCTGAAGTGGGGAATGTGCTGATGGCACGTGTGGTAGTGCTTTGATCCAGATGAAAACTTGAATATTTTCATGTGACGATTATGGCTGAGAAAGATTATGAATTTCAGATTTAAACAGACTATAATTTAAACCAACATTAAAGTATTATTATCCCAAAAATTTATACTAATTCTGGCCAAACTCATAGTGCCAGCGAAATTTAATGAAATTCAATCCGGATGAAAATCCGGATAAAACCGCTACGGATCGAAGCACTAACGTGTGGTGTATGACATTTTGCTTGCAGTATACATTGCGATAATTAAATATTTTAATTAAATATTTTCATTTCCTATACTAGGAAGCCGACAATCTTCAAACCAACATTGATTTATGGAATGATGATATGAAAAAATTAGCGAAATCGGAAGTTAACAACAGAGTGAACATGGTAAGCATGGTTATGATATTTTTTGTATTAACATATTGTCTTATTATAATTCCACTATCCAGCGTAATCTAGAAAATATGACAATTAGTACGGGCATATCGGCTGGTATTCAGCATTTTAAAACATATAATTCTCAATTGTTGATTTCCCAACAATATGCCAGCATGAGGTTTGATTCGGCGGAACAAGAACGAAAGAGAAAAGCAGATGAAAATAGCGAGGTGGATGGTAGCGGAATAATTGAATGGGAATTTGATTGTGCAATTCTAACATGGCTTGAAAAAGGAATGCTGTATCATAAAGAATTAATTTCGGAAGAAGATGAGGATAAAAGAATCAAAGATTCATCAAAGTAAATGCTTTATAAATCTCATTTTTGCACTTTTTTTCACATGATTAAATTATAGTTAAAAATAAAAAGGTCGATATGGTGGAGAATTGTAGATGGATCAGATTTAGATGTAACCAGAGAATATCTCTCAGAAGAAGAATGTTTAGAATTACAAGAGGTTTTAGCTAATGCACTCGAATTAGGAACTACAATTAATGATTGGACAATATTGAAACCACAAGCAGAGAAATGTTTACAAGATTTATCAAAGGTAAATGGCTATAATTTTATGGAAGTTGTTATATACTTTATTTGTAATTATGTAAATTTAATCGCATACTCTGAACTCAGCTAAATAACGATCAGATTAAAATAATTGGTGAAAAAGTTCTTCATAAAGGAACACGCGGTGCATTAGAAGAACTAAAAAATTTTCTAAAAACGAGTTCCCAAGAATTTGATCTCGGCTTGTTTGGCGATTCAAACAACAAAACAAATCAAACAAATGATGCAGAAACAGTTGAAATCGATTACTTAGATGAAGACGTAACCTATATTTTTGATTTGATAAGATTTACGTAAGTACTATACATCTACTGTACGCCAACGGATTTCATTACTTACTTACAACTTATTTGAATTTCTTTTGTCAGTTGTGAAAGAAAAAAATTCCAAAAAGGAAAAATACAGAAAAAAATATAGATGTTTTTATAAAAATTTTATTTTTTCGTGCTTAGATAATATCATGGATCGACACTTGTAAGATTTTCTATTTTATCCTTTCTATTTTTTCTTTGTCTGCACAAATGCGCGTGTTTTCTCATAATAACAAATAAGTGGTGAACCAGTGTCTCGAGCACGTCGTGACAAGGCTCACGAAGGGGATGAAAGATTTCATCTGGATTGGCTCTTTTGTGTATGTTAAATTATATATATTTTAATGTCAGTTTGAAGCATATACTAACATAACTTGCAGAATTAGGAGCAAGAGACTTGGGGCCGTGAATTTTCACTCTGCAAAAGAGCTGGTTCAGTAATCGATAATTTAAAGAAAATTTTTTCTAATACACTGAAGATTAAAAAAAACATTAAGAGACATGCACATGTCATTAATGAAGTCTATCGCATCTGTTAGCAGTAAAAGGGTGTCAAAAGAAGTACTACAATCATTTCCGAAGTTATTGATGCCTGGGCTTCTTTCTTCACATTTTATTTACAAGCAGTGTTAATATAATAGTATATGTTGGTGTTGGTTTTTATGTTCCACTGATTTGGCCGAGTTAGAAATTCCTATCGATTATGATGAACTTGATAAAATTTTAAAGGTCGCACGTATTATTTTACAGATCAAGGTTAATAATATTCTTTCTAATACTATTTATGTGAATTTTATGTGATATCTTACACAGTTTCTTTATGTAGAAGCTATTAAATAAAACGATACTAGGATATAAAATTAGTTAAGAGAGAGCCGAAAAAGAAAAATTTTTGAAAGATAAAAGGTTAATGAATGAATATGCAGAATATCCTTCTCCACGGAAGAAGAAACAGAAACAGGAGAAGAGAAAAAAAGACAACGAAGAGGTCTCAATGTTTATAATATTATATCGTTTTACAGAATGCTTTGGATTTTTAACGTGTGTGGGATGATTTAATGTATTGGGAAAAATGAAAACATTAATTTACAATGTATGTGTAATAATGTTTGATTAATCTGATAAAAACATATTACAGAATAATGCTTATGTATTAGGCTATTTTAATGGGATGTCTAATGAAGATGTTATCCATATAATAAGCAATTAAATAAGATACTAAAATTTTAAACTTATCTTAGCAAGTTTAATATATTATATATTATTTTTGGTATTTGGTTATATTTTGATTAAAATTCTAAATAAATTAAATTAATTGATTATTGTATAATCTTCTTATTTAAAAATATAACTAATATTTTCTTTTAATAATTTAAATTTTAATTAAATTTAATTGCTAATATATTAAATTATATTAAGATCATATTAGTAAATTTGGCTAGTTTAGTAATTTTAACAGTTTTAGTATTTGGTATTTTAGTAATTTTACTATTAATAAAGTAATAATATTTATTATAATAATAGTTTGGTATAAAGTCTTATCTTTTGATTTTTATGTTAAGATATAATGTAAATAAAATATTAGATTATATTATTTTTATTAATTACAATGTAAATAATTATATATATTTTATATAGTAAAATATTAATTTAATAATTTAAAATAATAATATAATATGTATTTCAATTGATACAAGAAATATATATAGTGATATATAGTAATATTTAATATTTATCAGGATTTTTTGGTTCAGGAAGATTATCAAAATTAAGTAATCTACTCGTATAAATTGCTTCATAATGTTTTGAAGGTATATCATTAGTTGATAAATTATTATTAATTTCTTCTATTTGTTTATATATTCCTGTATCATCTTGCTCTTGAATATTATCATACCATTGCAATAAAGTATTCCATATTTCATCAGCAGTTGGTCTAATCAGAGGGTCTGCATCCAAACATTGTTTAATTAAATGCAAAATTAATTGAGGTACTTTAATGTTAAATCTTGGTCTAAACCCTTGACAAACTTTTATTGCTAAATTTTTGTCATGGCTTATATCATGATATGGGGATAATCCAGAAATTATTTCATACATAATTATACCAAAACTATAAATATCAGAAGCTTTGGTATAATTTTGCCCTCGTAAAATTTCCGGAGCCACGTAAGGTAAAACACCATATACCTTATTTTCTAATGTATTGTTATAATCTGCAGGCTTACATAATCCTATATCAGTTATAGAAGTTCCATATTTAAACCTTAATATATTGCCAGTATGTAAATTTCGATGAATTAATCCATTTCTATGAATTTGATCAAGTCCATTCGCAATATTATGTAATATATAAATCTTTTCTGCCCAAGTCAACTTTTTGTAATTCTGGTTTAAATAATTTCGTAAACTTCTATGTTCTGCATATTGTAAAACAATCATATAATTTTTTGTTTCCGGATGTTGAGTTATTCCATAGATTTCAATGATAAAAGCTTCATTTATTTTATGATGTGATGCAATCTATAAAAAAATTATATACATATATATATATTTTTTTTGGTAAAAAAATCATATTACAAAAAATTTTATGATTAATTAATACCTCTTTAATATATTCTAATGTAATATTTTCTGAATTATTTAAACTTTTCAAGGAGACAAATTCATCCTGATAAAGTCTATTCCAATTCTGATTTTTGTTATCCCAATTCCATATACGTCCATCAATCCATTTCGCTTTATACACATCACCAAATCCGCCTTTGCCAATATGTTCAATATTGTTAAATCTATCAAAAGGTATCCACTCTAATAATTTATTATACCAAACTGCTGATAACTGAGTATCTTGAATAAATTTATCAATATTACCATTACCACTTGTCCAATTGTTGAAATTTTGTTGAAAATGTCTCGCACTACAATCATGACACCAATTATACTCAGTAATTGGCCGTTCGCATTCTTTACACGTTTCCATTTTCAAAGGATAAATTTTTTTCGTTTCCGCGTCGATCGAAGTACGTAACAATGTCACCACGTGAATTTTGACGTCACAAATTTATTTTATATTCGTTTATTTAAATTTAAATATATTGTACAATGTATTCTATCATTTGTATCTAAAAATTTATATAATTTTTTTTTTCGGGAATAAATTAATATGACCAAATCCAAAAGAATCCAGCATTTTTACCAGTTTCTCCGGACTTCCAATATCTTCCAATAATCCCATATGCAGTCATAAATCCACAAAATTTCACCAAAACATTATCATCTTTATTATCTTTATATACGAAATTCACCCTACGACCTTTATCTACTGGAAATGATTCACCTTCCGTATAATAACTCGTACCCATATCATCAGTCAATACGCCTTCCAAATTGTAATGTAAGGAATTATCCTGATAAGTCCCTTCATCATCATCTAAATAATCACTGAAAGCATCACCGTCTCCTTTATCAATTTCAACTTCAGTGAACGTTAAATCCATTTTTAATATTTTTTCAACTACTGTAAGTGTAGGATCTATGCATAATCCTTTCCATCGGTTTGGAGGACAAAAAGGCCAATCATATCCATCATTTCTAAGACACCATAATATCTTATTCGATGAATATACCTAAATGAAGGAAAGTAAATAAATAAATAAGGCTTTTAAAAAATTTAACATAAAATTACAAATATTATTAATACGTACATCAACCATATCCGTCCATTGTAACCATTTATCCGATTTTCTTGCATCAAAAATTAAAGATTCTGGAAGAATTTTATAATCATCACGAGCTCCACAAGCTAAATAGATATGGAGGGCATGACAATCCAACATAGGAAATACTGCATCTTTTGTAGGATCCCAATTTAATATTCGCTCACGTAATTTGTCCACCATAGTTTTAACAATGGATGAATATGACTTTACACCTTTAATGAAAAAAAAATAAGAAGAAAAAAATTTTTTAGTGAATAGATCCTCTTACAAAGATTTCTAAGAAACAATTATAAGTATCTTAACCCACCATAAGCCAACATCATAGAAATAATCTTTAAAGAAATAAATACACAAGCCAAATGTTTCAAAGAAGAATCCATGTCTGCAAATAATAAATTGAAAACCCTACAACAGAATTCTGGTGCTTCCAATTCGGTAAGCTTTTTTAAATTCTTTCCATCTAAAAATTAGAATCGAATTAAAAAAAAAATCACTAAACATTACGTGATATAAAATAAATTAAATAAACATTTCTCACCATTCTCTGATACAAGAACCCACAAGCACGTTAACTCATCTAATATATTGTCTAAAACTGACTCACTTGGAGATAAATCATCAAGATAAAAATTTTCCAACGTTTGTACACTAGAATACATTTTTTCAATATTTAAGTTTGATCTACGATAAAAAATTTTTCTGAAATTACAAAAATTAAATCTTCTTTTTCTTGCGTCGACATCGTAATCATTTATAAAAACCTGTTCCCATATAACTGTATCATGTGATAACTTATAAAATAATTTACATACTAAAGGTAAAAAAATCACTGCGGTTTTCGGAGGGTTTAATTTTTCCAACAAAATTAATTCATATAAAATTTTCAAAAGAATTTCTGTAGGTAATGAACATAAATTTAGTTTAGGATTTGACCAAGGAATTTTTTTTTTATTGATTATTTCTTTGAAATCTTGATATATTTGATTTTTTTTTGTTATTAATTCAAAATCGCAATATGAGTAAATTTCTGGTATCATTCCCTTTTCGGCCATATTATCAAAGAAAAAATTCTCAAATTTTCCGATTCAAAAATAGTAATAATCTAGAACACTCAGGATAATGTAAACGAAAAACTATGAAAGGATTTGAGAGAGAAAAAGTGATCAAAAGTATAGAACATATATATATATAGTATCATATCATTTGCATTAATCATCACGATAGGTACTATATATAATAATTATGCATTAGTGTGACAAATAGATCCAATGTATCAAAAACGATATTTTGTCACAAAGAAATATGCACAGGTATTTGTTTCACATATTGATTATCTGTTACAATTACATTTTGTGTTGCTTTAAGTATAAGGACATTTTAAAATAAATTACAATAAACTTTGTTGAAGCGAAAAATTTATTGGGTATATATTATTACCACAAAAAATGTCTCAATTATATGATGAGATCATTACAAGATTTTTAAGTTGAAATTTTTTGTGTGACTTTCAGCGATTGTAGTTTAAGTTATTGCCAAGACACTGGCATCATCTCACGAGATCTCTCATAAATGAATGCTAAATTGTATATGGCGATTTCTGATAGACGCAGGTATAAACCAGCTGTCCGATGTAATTAGTTTTTGGAAATTTACATCCGGGTTTAGAAATAAAATATCGTAGCGCAAAACACATTTCTTTTGGACTTTCTTGATTTTTTGCATTATTTGGTAAAATCAGTATATTATTTTATTGTTTAGGATGTTCTCCTCGCTGCCTGAAAGGCCTAACTGTAATAACCGATTAATAAGTAATGCGGGCCGGCATTAAATATTTGGCCGAGGTTAATCATTTTAACCGATCTTTAACCAGTTTCACGTTTTGATCGATTTTATCGTAGGATTTCCGGTTTTGGTTATGACAAGAAATTAATCTATAACTTAATTCGTGGTCCATGAGTCCACTGCAGAAATGGGAATCTAGCATCAAATAGAAGTAAAAATAAATATTTTAAAAATTAAACTATTTGAAATTTTGGGATAAATATTATGTGAATAAGTTCAATGTTAGTAAATAAAGACTTTACTAACGGATATCTTCCTATGGATGTGACAACAAAATCACGTATGGCTATCAAACATATCAGGTGGTTAAGAATCGGGTAATTAATTGTTAATATTCAATAACCCTATTTTTTCGGTTGGGTTTGATTTGTCTGATTTTTTGTGTAATACATGAAAACCTATAAAATCTTTGGTGCATATGACCGAAAATTGCAATTGAACAGGTTAGTGTATTTCTAATGAGCTAGATTGGGTGTTAAATTATCAGTGTAAATTTTTATGATTAGCATTTTTTTTTTATTAAACAAATAAACAAATAAATAAAATACAAAATTATAATAAAACTAGTAGTATTTTCTGAATATAAATACAATTTTTAAAGTACAATAAAATATGTAAAATTTAAAATTTTCATTATTCTTATTCACAGTTAATCATACAATTGATTAATTTACTGGTTAACTTAGCATTAATTTTCATTTTTTCTCTCGTCACAGTCTGAAATGAACCGCAATCCATTAAATTATTAAATCCGATCTCGGATAAATAAGATAAATGATTACCATTGGTTCTTGTGTAAGATTGTTGTTCGTAATTAAGTGGTTCACACCCGACTGTATAATGTATTGAATGTATTGCATCCAATATTGGTATTGTATCATTGGTTGATACAATTTGAATCATTTTGGGTAAAAGGGTATCATAACTGTTATTAATAATGGAGAATTAATTAATAAATTTGTCAAGATTAAATAAAAACAAAATGAACAAATTATAACAACGTACACTAAAGCAAATACTTCTGGAACAGCATTTGCTGCTTCAGCTAAAAATCCGTAAAGAAATAATCTTTCAGCTTCACTTTCGGCATGTTGTAACACTGTTACCATTAAAGAAATTAAAAGTAAAGCTGTTTGGTTATCTGGTATATCGAGTCTGTCAAATATTTTATAATATGTTGTTTGAAGCTCCGTGTCATCAACATAAATATCTGATATTCCACTTAATCCAAGTAATCCTTTCATATCAGCATCATTCGCCGACATTGGTAATAAAGCCGCTAAATATCCTAACATACTTGACTCAATTACATTGTTCCCAGGGTTAATTCCATTAACCCCTTTTGCCGCTATATCCAAAAATACAATTAAAGCTGATTGAGTCGAAGTTTTTGTTGTTGGATTTTTTAATCCTTTTAATAATGCTGCAGCTACTGCAAATGAAAAATGTTTATAATTAATTCCCGCTTCTTTATCCATTTCTCTCATTACGTCCAAACATCTTCTTGAATTCAATAAAAATGATGCAAGATCTTGATTTTCAAAGAAATTATGCGACTCCAAAGCTCTCAATGTTACTTGAAGTAAATTAACAGCACTTTGAAATATTGGTATATGTCCAATTTGAATAAGTGCCATTGACAACCAAAACATACGTTGAAGATATCGTGATTCTCTTGATAAATTTTCAACTATATTCGTTAAACACATTATTATACTTTGAATCAAAGAACATTCACTCTCCGAAAAATTTTTCAATGCTCCTTCTAACGCTACTAATATTTGATATAGAAGATCATCATCAACTTCTACACGTGCTAAACAACCTAGAGCAACAATGGCTCTTGGCTGTATTGCAGGATTAGGTTGAAAAGATGAACTCGCGACTAAACCCATCCAGCGTGCTCTCCAGGTATTTGACACATCTAAAAAGAAAAAAAAGATAGATTTTTAGTTTTTTTTTTTTTTATAGAAAAAAATAAAATGTATAAAATGTACATACCAACGGAAGGAGCACCATAAATCATAACTTCCAGGAGGGCCTGAACAACAGTTTCCAGGGAATTAAGTGGCATGTTGTTTGGTAAATCAACAACAGACTCACCTGTCATTGAAAAAGCGTTTCCCGACACATTAGATAACCCAAAAAATAATTTAAAGTTTGGTTCTGACAATTCTGTTAACAATATATTTAATCGATTCAAATTTGATGGATCAAGAGTTTGAACAGTACAAAGGCTTTGAACTAAATTCACTATCAATCCATGAATTGAAGCTCTAATGAATGGAGCTCCAGTTGCAATAAGCATTGTTATTATATAGAATAATTCGGGTAGATATAGCTGAACATGCTGTCGATTATTAAACGACAGCATAAGATTAAAACGAATCAAAACTGCGATTTCAGGCCATGCCGGATTTTCTGTAAGAGTTCTTGTTGGATTCAATGAAGTACGTGTAATAACCTAAATTAACCAAAAATAAAATAAGTAAACGAAAGCAAAAGTTGCAAAAAAAAAGTATTTAGTTACAGATAAAAATTACCCTACGAAGCCTTGCAATAATTTTACCACGAACATTTACGGATGAAAGGGTGACGATCGTATTCGCGACAATTTCAGCCGATGCCGAACTTATTCCATGCTTCACAGAATATTCAACAAATTCATCGATTATTAAATTAGTTATTTCGTCGACTCCTTTAAGTGTGTTCCATACATTTGTTTGTATGGCAGTATACAACTGAAACAAAAGAAAAAAAAATTCATTAATAAATATTTTTTATCTTATTCGCCGTATTTAAGCTATATTACCTCTGGCTCCTTAGTTGTCATGTCAATCAAATTTCTAATGATATCTTTTGTTTTATTAATAAATTCGGCACCGTTTCTATAATAAAGTGCTAAATTTGGAAGCCATGGTGCCATGTATTGAAGGCACAAGTGTTTTTGTGGTGTGTTGGATTTATAAAATCCAACAAAGAACTCTGATAGAAATTCCAATGTTAACCCGGTTTCTGAAACGGCCAGTCTTTCACTTAATTGCACAATAAACGTGCTATTATTAGCAGGTATACATAAACCTATAATAAATACTAATTTTAGTATGTTGATATTAAAAAAACAGTTTATATAATTCGTAAAATTACCCTTGGCGCTGAGAAGCTGTTTTCCAACATCAAAATTAAAGTTCAGACTTAAAGCTACTAATAAATCATAAGATGCTAGTCTCAAATTTGGGTCGTCAGATCCGATATTAAGAAGTGACATATTTAGCAGAGTACCGGGTACACTACTTGGGCTTAAAGATGTTCTTTCTAGTATAGTAGTAGTTGGTTTTTCTATTTGATATCGAGCCTACAATAAATTATAAAGTAAAAATGGCCGATTAAATATATACAACATTTGATTATCACAATTTTCTAAAATTACCTTAGATGATTTTATTGCCTGTATAATAACTTCTCGTTTTTGACTCGATAATGCATATACAGGTCTACCACGATCTTGTTTAATGATAAATTCTTGATCATCATTTCTATGAGTTGATTTGGTTATATCCTCGATTTCCGATATATGATATACATCATTGAGTTGACAACTCAATCCGTAGAATAAATCTTGCTTTTTATGCTATATTTAAAATTAAATCCAATTTGTAATTGTTACAAAAAATTTTTTTTTAAAAAAAAGATAATTAATTTAAACTTACTGTTGATATTTGAATATATTCGTTACTTAATCTTATTAATACTGGAATATGCATTCTATAGTGTGAGATTCTAGTTACATTTGCGTAGCTAGTACTAGGGTCAGTGTCCAATATTGCTACAGATAAAATTAAATGTAAATAAAAATTTATAAATCGATCTTGTCTTGTTTTGGTGAAGACTTACTTGTAGACCTGGGTAAACCAACCTCCCCTGGAGCAATATGATCATTAATTTCGGCTAGGCTACAGCAAAACACCGCCTTCCTCAATATTTTATTAGGTAAAGGACGAGATAATTTTTTCGCAAATTTCCTAAAAGCTGTATTGGTATTATAAAAATATAGTCTTGCAAGATTCTCTTGGATATCGAAGGGAAGGATCTGAATAAAGTGTTGAACCCATTGAGATTGAATCTCATTGTCAGAACTGAATCGAGTTAAATCAACAACTACTTCAAATGGTTTTCCCATTCTCCTCTCAATTGTCTATTAAGAAAAAAATTTTTTTGTAAAATTATTCAATTTGGGAATATAAATAAATAAATATAGTAATTTGGAATTGTTAAGTTACATTGAGGATATGATACATCAAAAGTTCAATGTCTGTTGACTCAGCTTCAAGTTCTCGTGCTATATAATAAAATACAGGGCGTCTCTCCTAAAATAATTTAAAACCAAATTTATTTTCCTTATATAAAAAAATCAATTAATCACTATATTAATAATAAATTTACCTTTGAAACACCACTTTCATAAAATATATTCTTTTTCAATGAATCCAAATTACGATCTTTGTTCCTTTTCATAAAATCTAGGAAATAATGATTGGCTGTGTCATAACTCTGCGTGTGAACATGAATGATCTCTTTCTTTGATTGTTCAGGTGGACCTAGTTGAGCTAGTAAAGTTGCAAGTCTTTCCCAAGACATTTTATTAACTTGAGCTTGTTCAGAGTCCATTGAAATTCCCGAGAGACTATATTTAACTCTACGGGCTGAAATTTCTCGCGCCATCTTTTCTTGATTATTATATAAATGTTTATGTAACGACTTCTTATGATTTTCATCTAGTCTGCGTGGTGTAAATTCCGTAGATTTTAATTCAGTTGTTGGTGTCGAATATGGTAATCGCTATGAATTTTACATTGAAGTGTAAGAAAATCATCAATATTTTATTTTCAAATTCAAAATCGATAAAAACAATCAACATACCGATATTTCTTCTAAAAAAGCTTTCATTTGATGAATATGTTCTTTTAAAAAAGAATTCATATTCATTATGTGTGGTTCTTTACCTCCAAATACTACATCGTTCGCAAGGTTTTGAACAACTTTAGTGACAAATAAAAGAGCTCTTCGGAATCTTGGATTTTCGATAGGTTTGCAAAGATTTTCACTATCAGGGGCAACTAAAGCCGGGTTAAAGAACCTTAGAAATATAAAGGAACCGACCATTATATATGCTGATTCCGGAAATTTTTCTGCAACAGCTTTTGCAATATAGTGACAGACGTATCTGAAAGACCTAAAATAACATTTTTTTGATTAAATAATTTAAAAATATTGTTTACTAGGAAAGGAGAGCGAGTAACAATAACGATAATATATTTGCAAATACCTAGGAATCTTATCCTTAGAATTACATATTGCATTAATAAAAGCTTTTGCAAGCTCCTTGAGATTCTTCAAATTTTCTTCTAAATCTTCATTTGGAAGCATTCTATCATTATCAAGTTCGCAACTGTAATCTGACGGTTTTTCAGCCAAGTCGTTTAAAATTGGTTGAAGCGTTTCACGTAGATATTCCGTTCCATGAGCTTTAGCAAAAGCCCCCAACAATCTTGTTGTTATGCTAGTCTTTCTGAACAGATCTGCTTCATAATCTATATTAAAAAAGTTTAAAATAATTAATTATTACTTAAAAGAATAATAAAATAACGCATTTCAAATTCATGTTTCCTTGCCTGTTCTATTTACTTCATTGACAAGTATAGCTTTTAAGAAATCCAATAATTTATTTTGCGAGTCAAACACCGCTACCAAAACTTTGGATAATTCATCTTGTTCGGTAGAAACTTCGCAAAGAGATAGTGCAATATCAAAGTCTGAATTCGTAACAACCTCAACTAGTCTATTATATCTTTCTTTCATAGCATTCTCATCCAATCCTTCAAATTCAGCTCCTTGATTGAGGATATTAGTAAGAACTTGCATAAACGCGGTTCTGGTTTTTGAATCTTCATGGTATCCCATGGATAGTGAGAATCTAAGGCCAGATTCTACATTAGCACTTAAAAGATTACTCAAGGCTAAAATGGTATAATCTTTCAAAGGCCCAAGATCCTTGACGTATTCCTTGGACTGCATTCATGATAAATGAAAATTTTAGGGATAAATTCAATATTGAGTTAATGTTCGAAATAACAGAATATTAAATAAGTACCTTTGATAACAGCATTTGTAAATCTTGATTGTTTTTGGCAGAATGTGTTCCACTATCAATTGCCTTTCAATAAATAATAAAATTAAAAAAATTGGGAAAATAGAATTTATACAAGTATGACATCTTAAATAGTACAAACCTCTAGAATTCTACATCTGTTCAATAACTTGATAAAAAATGAAAAATACTTGTAAAACATTTTGCATTTAATCTGACTCAAGTCAGAATCGGGTGAAATTTCGGAAGGTTGTAACGGTAATAAATGTAAAAGCGCTACTATAGTTTTTAAACATGCTTGATCCAATTCTCTATGTAACCGTTCACTCTTGTTAGAAACTGAATGATTTTCTACACTTGAATTGTCGGACTTAGAAAAATCCGAAGTCCATTCCATAATAATCTCTAATAAATGATTACGTAGCTTAATTTCTTGACGTAGGTTAACGTATTCTTTTTTTACCATTAAAAGTTCTGCAAGTTGGCACATTTTCTTTTTTATACGAAGAGAAGTATTACTTGTACCTAACTTATTTAGATAACGGGCAAATGAAAGAACTAGCCCACCAATATCACAGCTGTATAAATTGTCGGACATATCATAGATACGTTCCAATATTAATTTTAATACTGAAATTGTTTGTTCGACAAAGAGAGTGAACTTTTCCTGAGGACTAGCTTCTCCACCTTTTTCAAATCGAGAAACTATTGATTCCAAATGACGGAAAAGAATAACATATAATCTTGGACTTAATTCATTACCGAGGGCTTCTTTCACACTTTCTCGAACAAAAATTGTATCACTGACCAATAAACTAACCATCTCTTGAACAAATTTTTCGATCTTTATTATATAATCAGAACCCGAAGATATAGAAACTCTTCTCTGAGTAATATCTAAACCTCGTCCGTTACTTGGATTTAATCTTTCATGACCACAGCAACCGCCCAAAGCTGCAAGAAAACCTGTATAATTATGCCATTCTATAGTTTGTGATTCATTGATATCAGGAACTACAACAGGATGTGCTCTAACTGGTGCCAAAAAACCAACAACTTTTTTGTGAGTTACTGGAGTTAATGGAGCTGGTTCATCAGATTGTTTTGCAATTATATCTGTGAGTTTCTTCCATCTATCCCATGCCTCTTCCCATGCACCAATATTACCAGGTGTAGGTCGAGTCATCAGACGTAATAATTTACGAATACGTCTTTGCTGTGCCATTCGACCAGGAACTATATACGGTGAATTTGATAATTCTATATAAACATTCCAATTTTCAACAATCGTCATTTGAGAAGGCAATGGCAATTCTTGAGGTGCATCCACATCGATTGTAAAATTTTCAGCTGTTATTCGTGCTTCTTCACATAACTGATCAAAACAATTGATTGCAATTGAACATATTTCTATATCTGAAGAACACAAAGAGACCAATAAAGCAATCTCAAGTGCTACATTTGAACTTAGCCGATCTGGAATATTTGTGGGGGTAATTGGTTTGTCCTAAATGTCAACATGATTAATATTAAATAAAAAGTATTTATAGCAATAAAAATAAAATCACACGTTTCTTGTGTTACCTTGTTTGATCTAGCCCTAAGAAAATCGTTACGTCGGAGTAAAAGTTGGAACAAAAGATCCAACATATATTTAATTAATTCATCTTTATCTTTCATTTCCAAAATTTGTTTCGCAACGGTACAAGTTATTTGTGAACTTTTAAATAATAAATAGAAACAATGTCAAATGAAATTTATTTAAAGATCATATTATTTAAAATATACCATTACCTTATATACCAAAAATGTTGCATTTTATTTTCTCCAGTACCCCAAGATTCTATAAGGTTGGGGCTATGAAGCTCTAATAAAGTATCACCTGCAGTAGTCCTAATTATATAACTACTGTCATTCAAACATTTCATAATTCCAAGTATAATGGATTGATTGTCGACAATTTGTTCATTCGTGTTTCTTTCCTATTATTCAATAACAATGTTATATATATATATATATATTAATAAAAAAATAAATCATTATCATAGTTAATAGAATTTACTTACAACGATTGCAAGATACGGCTCAGTGCGATACAATTTTAATATGTTTAAAATGATTTCTGTTCTTTCATCATGATTTCTTCTATTGTGCCTGTTCATGTCAAAAGGTGTGGTACGAGAATTAATGAGATCTTGAAATAACTTACGAAGCGGCGCTGCTAAATAGGGATACATAGTGTTAATCTTAGGACTCCAAGGGAGTCGTGGTTCCTAAAAAAATAATATTAATAAAAATTAATTATACAACCAAAAAAAAGATTATTATTTTAGACATGTATGAACATAATTTTTTTTTTACCTCTGCTGCAATAGAATAACAACTTTTGACCAGGACTAACTTAAAAGAATTTGGTGCATCTTCATGTACACATATAGGAATTAACGTGCGTAAAGTGTTTTCAGGATTTATTCTAAATAAAGCTGTTAAACATTCAGTCATCAGCTTCTGATCAACGTTTTGTTCATTAGGGAACGGTTTGTTTGGGTCAAATAGCTTATCCTGATGATAAAAATGATAAAAAATGGATTAAATGTTAATATAAATTTTAGATAAAAATGAAAATAATAAACCCAACCTTCAGCTCATTTTCCATTTCTGGTACTATTTGACGTAGTGCAGATTTTTCGTTTCTTGCTACATAAGTAGAAGCTTTAAAAATATCTACATAACATGAGGCAGCAACTTCTGCATGATTTCTACCCCTTAAAGACTTTTTAAGATGGTCAAAAAATAATATCTAATCAAACGAAATTAGTAAATAAAAATTTGGAATTTAATGATTATAGTTCGAACTTTTTAAATCTACCTTTCGTTGAGCTGACTTAGTTGGGGCTTTATCCGTTGTAACGGCATTCATTAGCATATCAGGACACAGGACCAGCAACATAGTTTGCAAAGGCCAAAATAAACTTTTACTTTTATTTCCGCTAGAAATATTATTACATATATCAAAAAGAAGTTCAGGTCCACCATCCATTCTTTTTTGTGATTGACACAATTTAACAAATTCTGCTGGGAAAACTTCAATCCAATTCCAAATAGCTTTTCGAAGTACAATTGCCATTGATATTTGAGTATATCTTTTTAAATTCATAAAAGAATTACAAAGTTCTAAAACAAAAGAATACATTTATATATTAAGATAGAGAATATTTGGTTTTGAATCTAAATTAGAAATTAATGTTTCTGACCTTGCAATACCATTGATAATCTTTTTGAATTTAAATCACTACACTCAAGCAGCTTTAATTCAGATGTATCAGGCCATTCATCATTTATAGCAGACAAGAACGCAATTCGATTTTTAATCCTTGCAAAAACAACATTCCAATTTGAGGCACTAATATAAAATATCACTCGCCCAGCACTCTTAAATATTTCACTAACTAATTCATATGTTGCAGGAGACCAAGCAGCTTGAGCATTATGGATAGGAGATTCTTTTCCTCCACTTGGTCCATTATGAACGTTTGGGTTATAATCTTCTAAAGAAGCCATTTGATAAAGAAATCGAGATAAAACTTTTAGAATAAATACTGCTAAATTATCATCTAAAGGTGGTGGATCATCCCATGATCTTGGTAATCTAAAAGATGTATTTGATGGACTTGACATATTTGGTGTATTTGTAGTATTTAATGGGATTGATGGGCTTGTCGGACTTGACGTATTTGATGTATTTAATGATTCTTCAATTGAAGTTTCTTTAGATGGTGATTCTATTGATGTTCCTCGATGAAATTTCCAGTGATGAGTCATGCATGCTGATAAAATTTTTAAAATAAATAGTTGTGATTGTAATACATCGGTTGAAGGTAAATCTTCATATGTTTGAGTATGCTATAAAGCATTTAAAAAGTTAATAAACATTGATCCAACTTTAAAATGATTATTTTATTTAAAATAATATTACCTTTGAGATACTTTCTAAAAGTTTGGTTAAATTATGTGCAATTGTGCCAAGTTTAAATCGGGATAAATCAACAATGGCATTTACAATATGTTGAATTAAGCCATCTGCTTCTAAAGTTTCTAGCTTTTTTCCACTTTTACATGGTAACTTTGAACCTATCCT